TACACAAACAACACACTTCAGAATGGGATCACACATATATCGACAGGATGGGGGCTTAGCAATGGGCTCGCCATTATCACCAGCAATGGCAAATATATACATTGAATACTTTGAGGAAATGGCATTAGAATCTATATCTCTAAAGCCAACTATATGGTTATGGTACATAGATGACACCTTCATACTCTGGCCATGCCAGGAAGATGTTCAGGTTCTACTGGACCATGTGAACTCAATAAGACCTTCGATATATTTCACAATGGAGAAAGAGAGTAACAACACACTCCCATTCCTGGATGTGCTAATATCTCAAACAGTGCATGGGTTCAAGATATCTGTATACCATAAACCGACATTCACTGGACAATACCTCAATTTCAACTCCCACCATCCATACAGCGTAAAGAAAGGGATCATCCGCTGCTTACAATACTGAGCAAAAGTCATAAGTGGTGACCCAAGACATTAGATAAAGAATTGGTCAGTATAAGTAGTACCCTACAACGTAACAACTACCCTAGGTACAAAAGGAGGACAACACTCAGAAAACGGTCTGTCTGCCTTAGGTGAAGGGGTTATCAGAGAAAATACAAAGGATCTGTGGTCCGTATAAAATCAGAACAACCTTCAAAAGCTTGATGACACTTCAGATATCTCTCCCGAGTAAGACCCCCCCCATAGAGAACATGACCAAAGACTGTGTGTACGCTATCCTGTGCAGCTAAAGGAATATAAAGGGGAGACAGGCCGTCCCCTTAAGGTAAAGCTTCAAGAACACCAGAAAGCTGTAACATGAGGGGAAGTGGAAAAATCAGGTGTGGCTGACCACATATGGAGAGAGAGAGGGGAGATCACCGCCTTTTGTGGGATCGGGTTGAGATCACAGGCAAAGAACACCATTGGAAAATTCGTAAACTTAAGGAATCAGCACATATGCTAGGCCACAAAAATCTCCTGAGCTGACCAAGCATAGAAATGAATACAATATGGGAACCAGTAATAAGGAGTGCCAGAGAAAAGCGATGATAACAGCAAAAATTGCAATATGAGCACTGGTAAAAATTGAATGCTGAAGTCATTAGGTTTATAATAACCAGAAATTCATACACAGATGTCCTCAAGGACACATGGTACAGTGGGTATTGGTGTTGGTTAGATCCAGTGACAAGACCCAAAGAGTGTGAGTTCAATACCCGGTTAAGGCAGTGGAGAACTTTCAGAGGGAAATTAACAGGAGATAACTGATGACTGAACAGTCTACCCCAGTTCGACATTCCAACCACCTGAAGAAGGCCAAAGCGTACAATGGCCAAAACATTGTAATAAATATGGGACAATAGTCCGAATAATGTAAATAATAAAATACTAAAACTAAAAAAAATGTATAACTACAAAACGAGCTGAAGAAAACTAAAAGCACTTTTGAATAATTTAAACTTTTGAAGTTAAATTTTGTTTTTATTTGAAAGATAATGGCTTAATTAATGATTTGTAAAAAAAAAAAAAAAAAAAAAAAAAAATTATTTTAATTTTCTAAAAATTCTAAGACATTTTAAAAGACTGTCATGATCACTCACTGAACCTCTATTTTTGACTAAAAATGAAAATAAATTTAACTTTTGTTTCAAAATAAAATAGTAAAATTAAAGAATAACTGACTGGATTTTGTAAAAAAAAAAAAAAAAAAAAAAAAAAAAAAACTTATTTTTCAATTCTTAAAAACATATCTTCATTTAATAGAAAAATCCCTGAATGTAAACAGCAATTGGAGGAATTTCAGAACTTGCAATGAAGAATTACATTTTTTTTAGAAATAGATATTCAATGTAGACGTCAAATTGGAAAGAAAATATTTTAAAATTATGCAATTATTTGATTTTTAATCAAAATTTTTTTTGAGTTTTATTAAGTTAATTTTTTTTTTTTTTCTGATAAGGTTTGTGATGAACTTTCAGTATGTTCATGGTTGAATATATATATATATATATATATATATATATATATATATATATATATATATATATATATCACTCACTCAAATACCATCTTCAGGGATTTTTCTTTTATGTAAATGTAAAACAATTTCTCAAATACTCTCAAAATTTAAATATGTTAATGATATCTGAAAGTTGGAGTGAAACTGACAAAAAAAATAAAAACAAACATGCATTGATCATCATCAAACATGCTCAAGTTCAAATGCACTACAGCTTGACTAGAAGCAAAATCAGTAACTGAGTAGTAATTAGTTCTTAGTATTTCAAGAAAGCATGTGAAATATCTGCCACAAAGAATGGGAGGTAAAAGCAAAACGTGTCAAGCAGCTGCTGAGAAACAGAATCATTAACTTTGTCATACAGCATGGTGATCCTGTCAAGTCTATTAAAATGTACAACTAATGTTAAGTAGTGTCTTCGAAGCACTGAAAGATCAAGTTCGATATCTGAAAACTCTCTTTAGTATCAAGATCAATACCATTAGAAGTAAATCTCGGCAAGTACTTGACAGAAAAATCAGTTGATACATCTCTGCCTATAAGAGAAAAGAAAGGCACTCAGTGATTCTCAGTATTTAAACAACTTTAGCATTTGTGAGGAAAAATGACCACCAAAGGTGACTTTCAGTTATGAGTGTCAAAACCAATGTGTAGCAGTACATTATGACACCAACTTTTACATTAACCACATCATTAATATTACATCTTGATCAAATGCTGTGATAAAGTTTTTAGCTCCAACAAAGAGCAGAAATGATTATTTCTGATGGCCTTTGTCAGATGATATTGCACAAATGGAATCAACATTTGTCTTCAGAGAAAACTTTGATGTAATGCCAGTTTCAAGTGATGGCTGGATACAAAGAATTCCAGAAATATTCGCCATATAAACTAATATTTTTTATTATATGCTTATATCACAAACATGGTTAAAAAACTACAGAAAATCAGATGTGGAGATTTAATATTAATGTATAGTTACTCGAGTAGAAAGAACTTGTATGTCCCTTCAAGACGTGGGCTCTCCACAATTTCCTGTCCTTTGTAACCCTTAGTAAAGTTTGTCTTTTTGCTATATATCCTAATCCCTGTTCTGCCAAACATTTACACAAGCTCATTAGATAGGTTATGCATTGCTTTCCTCTGTCCCTCTTGTTTTCAATATGTCCTGTGAGTGTCAAATTTTCTAAGCCCTCTTTCCTCATTATGTGCCCTAGAAATTTCGGCTTTTTCTTTCTGATGTTACGTATGTCTTTTTTGTTTCCATTTTCTGTAAAACTTTGTTGCATCTATGGTATTCTCAGCATCCTTCTGTTGAACCACATTTCTGTTGTCTCAAGTCTCTTCTCCAACTATGATGACATAGTCCAGCATGTATTTAGACTGAGTAATTGTGATTCAAAAACTGAAAATAACAAAAGCAGTTCATATTACAAGAAAAAACTCTGCCGTTTCTATTCTTCTACGACATTTGCATATTTCTTTTACTAATTTGAGGAGGTACAGTGGAGTAATGGATAGCGGCTTGGATTGAGGAATCAAAGAGCCAAGTTCAAATTCCAGTCAGATCCATTACATTCACTTACATGCTAATACCCTTGGAAAAAGTATGAATCCTCTTCTTCTCCCCCAAGCTATGGGTAAATTGCAGGACAGACCAGGTTCTATAGCCTTGGATGGCAACTGGTCTACCGTAGAAAGAAATGGCAACCTACTGCAGGAAAAAATCTGCCTCGTCAGTCATGTATTGAAAGATACATGATCGCCTAAATGTGTATCACGCATGGCACATAACTGACTGACTGAATTTAATTTTGAATTTAAATAAAATTCAACTTAAAGGTTGCAAAAGCCATTTTAATACATTCAATATCACTTTCAAATAGATGAAAAATGTCATAAAAGTTTTAAATTGCCTTCTCTTAGAACAAAATTAATTATCTATTATACTAATTATATTCTACAAACCACTTTTTCTTTTTTTTTCTTTGCTAAATTTAGCTATTATCAAATAACTTTATAAAATAAAGAGAAATAGATGTTTATACTTCTAAATATATGGGTAAAGAAAGTTGTTTTCTTGCCTGTTACTGGTTGGACAATTGACTAGTAGCTAGTCAAGTTTTTACACAATTATTTACTTGTGGAAAATTAAATTTTATTTTTACATTTGGTGAAATTGTTGTTAAAAAAATTATGATCTTTTTATTTCCATTTATTTTTTTCTTTTCATAGCTAATTCTGAAAGATTCATGCATGAAGTAAAATAGCTAGCTATCAGATAAGAGAAATTTATAATCATGTCAATTATTTTTCTTTATGATTATCTAATGGATTTATTTAGAATAATTTTACAATCCTAATAGATGTCATTTGCAATATTAACCCCAATATTAACAGCAGCTGTAAATAAATATAAGTAATACAGACATGTCTTTGTCTTGAGATTATTCAGCACAACCCAATCATTTAACAAATACAAAACAAATACAGATAAGATAAATTTTATCTAATTCTTTCAGAGTTAGAGATTATAAAAATTGGTTATTGTTATTTCAGCTCACATTTCTTTATAGATTGTATGAAAAATCCCATTACCGTAATTTCTGTTTTTGCTAGAAAACATTTTTCCATTGTTTTTGATCTTTTTATCACTAATAATAGTAGTAATAAAAAATATTTTCTAAGCCCTGTATGGTCTAAAAAAATTGCCATACCAAAGTTTGTTAAAGGTAAAGCTTACTTACCTCCAGTATTTTTTTCTGTATTCAGTACTTTTTAATGAACTGAAAATATTTGTAAAATGAAAAAAAATAATTTAATGCAACAAAAATAATTTGCTCAATCTAAAATGTATCTGACTAACATCAGAAATTATTTTGGAAAGCCTTCTTAGTTAAATGAAGAATTTTTCAGCACCCCCTTTGTATATATCTTCACTTCTCTATATACAAATCTATTCTATATGGAATATTATATGCTTCAAATTCTTTCTATGTTCCAGGGCAGCCCTCTGTCATCCCTGTCTTTGTCCTCTAGAACATGCTTCACAAACACCATGAGTGCAGGCCCACTCACTGTGGAGATCATCTGTACCTTCATTCTAGCTGTGCTGCTAATTCATCGCTATGGTGACTGGAGGAAACAACATGTCCTTGTTACTTTGGCAACATTTGTTGCCTGGTATTTCTCTTTGATGATCATTTTTATTTTACCTCTTGATGTTTCTTCAGTAAGTACATATTTATGTGAGTGACATATTGAGTATTAAGAGCCTTTGATTAATTTATCTGAATATCTGGGTTTTTTTTTTGGGTTTTTTTTTCACTGCCAGAATGACTGTTTCAGATTTTCTTGCTATGCAATACCAAATTTGCAGTAGAAACATTTCCAAATTTTACATGGAAAATTTTAGCTTAACACCAGAACAGGATACAAATGCAAAGGAATATATTTTTCAAAGTTATGAAATTAATTAAAATGCTATCTATATTTTTTTAATACTAAGACTGATTTTACAGTGCAAAGCATTTGTTGAGAGCTGCAATATGAGTCTGTTGACTCTAGAAATTTCTTAGCATGAGGTGTAGGATAAAAGTTTTCAATACCTTGCATAAATTTGCTGGCAATATAGTAGTAGATGTTATTGCCATTATTAATAATTATTATCATCATATATTAACAATGAAGAAGTTAATAGCTATGTTTTAATTAGTAACTTTGACTACTAATGTGTTGATAATATTTTATTTAGAATATCACACAACAGGAACTGAGCTGACGATAAGTGAATGATAGTAATATAAATTGAGGAGTTAATTTAGTATAGTCTTGAGGTTCTTCTGGTATAGTTTCATGTGAAGTAGTTTTAATATATTGCAGACTTTGATTAACTAATCAGAGTAAGGATCACAAATTGTAGTAAAGTTCAAAATGATTTCAATCTTGCTAATTTGCTAACAATATTTTTTTCAAGTCCTAAAAAATACTTTGCTCTTGTTTGAGAACAATTTTTCTTTTCTCATAAAATTGTAATATATAAATAACTCAGTATTAGCAAATCTAAAACCAAAATATTTCACTTAACCTTTTCTTATCGTTTTAAATATTTTATTAATCCTGTATCAGCTAAAACATTTTTATTATCTTATTCTGTGCTCTGACAGACATTTTATCGCCAGTGTTTACAAGATAGACAAAAAGTAATTATCACCACAACAATTGCCTACCAGAATGTCTCCAGGACCACAGTGGACAATGTGTCATCATCATCATCTACATCACCGTCATCATTTCTCCCTTCATCAGCTAGTGAACAACAGCCAAGTACAGATAAAAAATTTAGTGTGGAAACACCTGCTCCAATTCCTGACTGTGAACCTCCCTTCAGTCATGTTCCTGACTATGTGCTCCCTGCCCTTTGGCATGTTGTCTACTGGACATCACAAGCTCTCACCTGGTCAGTTTTAGTGTTATAATTTTTAACATATTTTACTTTTGTAATCAAAACATGTGTAAGTATTTATGAGTTAATGAAATGCATGTTGTAATTTTTGATTGTGTTATATATATATATATATATATATATATATATATAGAAATATAGTTTTAAGGTGTGCTATATTTATAGGATATAGTGCTCAATATCAGAGAGCGTATGTAAATATAAAAGTAAACATTGAAGTCAACACTCAGAGGTCACAGGCTGTTTCATGCTAGACGCAATCATCAGGCCTGACACCTCTGAGTGTTGACTTCAATGTTAGCTTATATATATATATATATATATATATATATATATATTAAAAAAACAAATTTAATACTTGTTTTGTGTGCATTTATTACTAAACAAAAACTTTTGTAACACCTAATTATGTAATTGATAGAAAAGATTTCTTCAGCTATAGTAATACAATCCCCCACTTACTTTTACTCCATCTCTTTTTATGGTTTTCTAGAGCCATCTTCTTTAGCTTAGAATTCAGTCTGTGGGCCACAATGTCTAATTGTCAATCATGCCACTTGAATACATTTAAAAAAAGTTATTCTTACAGCTTAGTTGCTTTAAATTAACACATTAATGAAATGAAATTTGAAAAGGTGAAGAAAGAATAGTTATAAATATACAGAACTGGGTAAGAGAAAAAGAAATAAAAGAGAAAGTATTTCAATACATATTTAATAACATTTAATTGCTAACCTTTATTTACATTTTCTAGCAGGAAACAATTTTCATATTTTTTTGCATTCAAAATCACTACGATCTATCTTTCTGATGAAAATGCTATTAATTTTGACATGTTTTTATGGGATTCAAATCAGAGGATTTACTAGAACACTGAAGCACCTGGATAGTGTTCTTTACAGATCATCCTTGAATGGTTTCTACCAAATGTTTCAGATATTTGTCATGTTGGAACAGCTAGCCACTCTTCATTTACTATGCCAAAATGAAGGAATCACCCATTAATTGGTTTTTTTTTTTTTTTTTTGGTTTTTTGTTTTTGTCTCTTTCTACACCATTATGCTCTCACCTTCATGTTTTAATAATGTTTCTTGAATCATCAACAGAATCAACTTTACTCAATGACAAGCTGTTATAGCCAACTTGCTCAGTGTTAATTTTATCCAGCCACTTTATTTTTTAGGAGTTTTTATCAGTTTTTTTCTAGCTTTTAAATCTTATCAGGTTCATTTGATTCTATTTAATTTATCTCTGCATTTTTAGGTACAAGTCAATATATTTTATGTGGAATATTTCAAGGATGGGTTATAGTGGTCTCAAATTTCTTATACTTCTGTAAAATTTCAATTGATTGAGATTCTTTGCAATGTTTTTGTAGATTAAACTTCTAGTATGTTTATTTTGTTTTGTGAGCTTGCTTTTAGCCATAATGACTACCTTGTTGAAAGAAATTAATGTAGCAAATGGCTACTTTTGACTGAATTAAATCTGCATGCGGGAATATTCTATCATTTTTATATTGCCTTTCACTTGAGTTGTATTTATTTTTTATTTAACATTCTTACAGTTTCTAAACCTGTTCAAATATTTGTATGAAAAGATTTGATTTTCATCTAAAAATCTCTCAATATTAACAAAAGATTATTTTTCTTCATATCTTCAAATTTCACAAAATATTGTTATCAAGTTTCTTATTGAATTGATAACAAAATCGATTTGCTCTTCAAAGATAATTTACCCTTAAAAATTTGCACACATACTTTCAAAATAAATTGCTGTTTTTTTTTTTTTTTTTTTTTTTTTTGTTAAATTTCAAACCCGTCCTGAGTATGACGCTAAGCTACATCTATGTCCAGCAGCAAGGCCTCTGATCAGGAGGTTTTGAGGAGCGTGGAACCACCTCTTAATTGCTGGTGTTCCCAGGCCCACCCTGACCCGGGGTGGTAGCACCTGTTAGGGTTCCAGCTATGGGCAAATAGTTAACCCCGAAACAGGGGTAAAAATGGGTTGTAATACCAGGAATACTTTGTTAAAAAAAAAAAATTATCAGTAATAAATTTTTGAAGGAAAAGCTATTACCAGCAATACATTTTTGAAAAAAAAAATTACCAACAATACGTTTTTGAAAAAATATTACCAGCAGTACTTTTTTTTTTTTTTTTACCAGCAATGCATTTTTGAAGGAAAAATTATTACTAGAAATAGATTTTTGACAAAACAAAATATTACCAGCAATAAAAACTTTGTCAGTATTAAATAACCCATTGAGGTTGATATGCCGTAAAACACAACAAACCAAACCTAAATTCCAAACATTTTCTGATTTTTACAGGTTAATACTCCCATTAATGCAGTCTTATTCAAATGCTGGTGACTTCAGTGTTGCTGGAAAGTGTAAATCTGCTCTGATAGAAAATGCTATTTATTATGGCACCTACCTACTTATCTTCGGGGTGTGTCTCATTTATGTAGCTGCCCGACCTGATTTGCATATAGATGCGTAAGTTAACTGGTTGCATTTCCTTGGTTGTTTTCTTTATTGTAATAAAATGATGTATCTGAAAATTTACCTGTGAATATCATGTCTACTTAATTGTGAGATAATTGTTTTTATGCTGTGCATGGAATTCAGCCATCTTTATTTTTTAGTGTGTCTGGAAAATGAGCCAAGAGCAGATTTTCATAGTGCATAACAATTCTTAAGTCACAAAAAAGATGTTATTACAATTGAAAGAAAATGATGAAATATTAATTCTTTTAATGTCTATATACAGGTTGACCCTCAAAAAACAGAACCCATAAATATTGTAATGAATCCTACAAAGGTCCAGTTAATTTCAAGAAACTTGTTGGATTTACACTTCAGTCTGTATATTCATGTTGTCAGAAATTTTTATGCTAAAGTATTTCTGATTACCACATATTGCCTGTATATGGAGCTTCCAGAGGCTTCTGAACTCTGTCCATAACCATGTATACTTGCAAGTACAGGTCAGTGCCATTAAGCTGCACACTAATAACCCACAATGTCGCTTAAGCTGCAAATGTGCATTGTGCAATGGACCCCAAAATTTTTTGTCATGCTCATATTAAAATCATAATCAATCAATCCCAATTTGAAACAAATTCAAACTTGATTGTGACAGATTTTTTTCTGTATAATCTTTTATTTTAATAAATTCCTTGAGTTTTAATACCTTTAATATATCTGTATTTTCCCAGGCATTTACTATTGTTTAGGGTTTGGTATTTCACATTCACAATTGTGTAGTGGTTTGGATTAGCACTTTGCAAACATTTTGAGTGTGAAATATGCAGCTTACAACCTTTATCCTAACCTAAAAATTTCACATATGGGATTTGTTTTAATATCAATAATGTGCTTTTCTAAATAATTTATATAATCTGCAGAGAAGAGCCATTTTAAATTCTGCTTTAAGGATTATTAATGGAGGCTGCCATTGCAACCAAATAATACATTTCAACACTTTCAAAAAGTTTCAAAAAGTCCATAAACCCCCTCACATTAAAGTTTTGAATAAATACAGGCAAAAATTAAAGTTTGCACAATGTCTTTCTAGATATAATGATCACATTTTTATACCTAGATATTAACCCATCATGAAACATAAACACGCCTCATACAGTGTTCAACAAAAGCTAAACGTTGTTGAAAGCATACGAAATGGCACAGCTCACAGCAAAGTCTCTAAAGAGATGGGTGTACCAGAATCTACATTGAGAGGTTGGATTAAAAATGAAGAAAAGCTACAAAGCTTTTTTAGATGAGCTAGACGAAGGAGGTTTGAAGAGGAAAAGGGCCAGAACTGATCTTGACAAGGCAACATTTCACATGTTCTGTGAAGCTAGAAATAATGGGATACCCACGTCAGCGCCCATTATACAAGCCCAGGTGAGAAAATACATCAACAACTTCATGGTGAAAATGCAGATCCTAAATTCAGCATATCTAATGGATGGTTGAGAAGGTGGAAGCAGTGCCATGGCATAGCACAGGTAAAAATAAGCTGTGAAACTAGGTCGGCAGACACAACACAAGCCAAGTTGTTTGTAACAAAGTTCTAAAATTTTGTGCAAAAGTAGCAACTACATCCTGAGATGATATATAATGCAGATGAGATGGCCCTTTACTCTCATATCCTACCAGAGATAACCATTGAAGTAAAGAATGACAAGATGAATAGAGAAGACTTCAAGAGTATGAAAGAAAGACTGATGCTCCTTTTCTGCTGCAACATGGCAGGAAGCCACAAGTTAAAGCCCCTCTGCATCAGTAAGTTTCGATCTCTAAGATGTTTTCATCATGTGAATTTGAAGCAGTTACCAGTACTCTACAACAACAAAGAAAATGCCTGGATGACATCAGCCATTTTTTGAAGACTGGTTTAAACAAGACTTTGTTCCAACAAACAGCCAGCGTCTGAGAAGTGTTATTACAAACTTTATTTTTATTTTTCATTATGTACATGTAAATTTATTAAAAATGTTGTTTTATATTAATTTCATAAATGTATCATTACATTGCATAGAAACCTGTGCTTGTACATAGATGTTACTACATTGTATTGTAATGTTTTTATTCAAAAAAAAAAAACTATAAAAAAATCTTTTTTTTTTTTTTTTCCTTGTTAAAATCTCATGTGTACGAGATTTCTGCCATCTTTTGCTGCCATCAATGATGGATCTATTGACATGGCGCTTTATAAATGGAATCATTTTAGGCTGTCATCTTTCAAATTTATTCACATTGGTGCAGATTTTTATGTGAAATTAAAAGATAGTTTTAATAAACGTTTTTCAAAACTACCAATATTCAAATTTTAGTATTGAATATGCATTTTGCATGCTTAGCCACTGTGTTACCCATTTTTGTGGATAACTCCATGGACTTGACAAACTTTGGTGGTCTAAGATGGCAGTCCTGACATTGTGGCTCACTTTTGATTTAAACCACGGTTAGAAGTTTTGGACCCCAACTACCATGGCTTGTTGGCACAGACCTATATTTAGATCTTTTGGGACCTGATTTAGGTAAAGAATGCAAACCTCTTGAATAGATTGTTTGCCTCAAATTTATTTGCAAATTTGTTATTCCAATGTCCTCATCTTTGTGTTGATTGATATAAAGGATAAAGGTTTTTTAATAAATAATTGGAAATGAGACTTATTGTAAGAATAAGCATTTAAAATATTTTGAAGAGTAACCATAATTTCTTTGTCTGTTAATCAAATATTGATTACGTACAAGCCTGTTTTTAGAATTTCTTTCATCCTTTAAATTTTAAAATTGTATTATAGATAAAATTTAAGAATTAATAACTTTGTAAGATGTTAATATTTAAAGTATTGACATGCAAACCTGCCCATTTTTTTTATTATACAAAATGTTTTTTATTATACAAAATGTTTTAAACAAATTTAAAACAATTTTATAAATTCAAGAAAAATGACTAATACAATTTTTGCTTACAGCTTTAGATAAAATTTAAACATTAAATTTGAATTTGATAGGAATTTGTCTTCTATTTATGTTCTTACATTTTGTATCTAATGATAGAGTAATTAAAAATTGATGTCTCATGCAAATTGCTTTTTATATTTAGTATAAAATGTTTTATTATTCATTCTATTTCAGAGATAAAATAAAGATAATTGGTGTAACTGCTAGTAACACATGGGGGCTGTTCCTCCTTGTTTTGTTGCTCGGTTATGGTCTGGTAGAAGTTCCACGTACTGTGTGGAACAGCTCCAAGAGAGGTTATATGCTGGCTTTTTTTTTAATTCAAAATAGCCAAACTTAGCACTGAGAAGTCGGAAGCTGAGGAGGCCCTGGAAGATGTGTTGGAGGTAAAAAAAAAAAATCCTTTTTAAAATTGTAAGGAGTTTATTATACAAAAAAATTCTATTTTCTTGTGCTTTGTACTTGATTAATTTTGTGCAAAAATCTTTAATATATAAAATCATTAAATAAGTATAAAAATTCAAATGTCACTTATGCCATCATGCATAATTAAGTTTCACAGTGTTAACAAAAATAAAATTAATCCATGTAATCACTAAATTAAAATTATGTACATATTGGTTATGCAGTAATGTTTTAAAATTTCAAGCCATATTTTGTGTGTATGTGCATGAAATAAAGGACGCACACACATATATGAGTTAAAGATCAAATGCAGATCAGAATCTAAAGTTTTGTCAGAGATTAAGGGAAAATGTACAAAAAGACAAAACACTGGTATTTTCAATTATGTTTGGATCAGTTCTCATTGTTCAGACATGTGTCACATGTATTAAAACTGTGGATAATTCTGTGTATGCATGTTTGTGAGGAGATTCTTGTATGTCTAAGTGGGCAACAGATGGTAATGTGTATTTGTAATTATGTGTGTGTATCTGTCTTGTTGGGGTTTTATATTCACCTTTGTGCAGTTAACCCACACAGTGTGAAGTCACAGGATTCTAATTTATGGCTTGCCTCTTTAAGAATGTATTCTTTGTATTAGATATGTTAGATCTTTTAAAATGGATTCAAAGAAAGGTGACGATGTAATGTTTTAGGTGTGTTATGTTTATAGTTGATAATAATGTTAAGTTTTCAATGTATTTTCTCCTTAAAGAATTATGTTCTTTTTTTTTAATTAGGTTGGCATTAGTGAAATCAAAGTAATGTCAGCATCATTTCAATGCAAAAAGAGAGAGATCAATTGTCCAAATGCAAGTGTCTCTTGTGTTTGTAGATGCAGGCATTTAGATCATGTGATGTCTCCCCACATAAACATTTTTTGCATTGTAAACAATTTATTTGATAAATTCTAGCATTTGAATCAGTGTTTGGTTTATTTTTCTTCCTAAATATCCAGTGACATGACCCAAAGAGTGTGAATTCAATATCTGGTTAAGACATTCAAACCACCTGAAGAAGGCCAGAGCGTACAATGGCCAAAACGTGATAATTATGGCAACAGAGATGAGGATGATAGTCCGAACAATGTAAATAGTGTATATATATATATATATATATATATATATATATATATATATATATATATAATGGACTAAATCAATAATTATTTTAATATATTTTTATAGATACAAATATTTAAGTAAATGCTCTATTTATAATAAACAGTATTAACTACATTTACTCTGTTTATAACAAACAGTATTTTTTTCTTTTTTTTCTTTTTTTTATATCAATGATAAATATGTACATTTATTCTTTCTCTTGCACTCCTTTTAAATCCAACAGGAAATTAAGCGTGCCTCTGAATCCATTCGTTACAACCACCCACTACGGAGAAATATAGACACCATCTTACAGAAGGTAAGCTTTTCTTTCTTGCACTTCACTTGTGCCTTTGTTTTTAGTTTCAAAATATTTTAATGACTCAATCTGCCAGAAAATCAAGTTATTTAAACTTTTGTAATTTTCTTCATATAATTAATGAAAATATATTGGATGAAATGTTATCTAATGGTTGATAATTTGTGTGTGTATGTATGTATATATATATATATATATATATATATATATATATATATATATATATATATATATATATGAAAAATTCTCAGCCTGTTCAAAAAGGATTAAAAACAATTCTGAAGTTTGGGAAGTGGGTTGGGCTAAAAACTTTTCAACATCCACGTGCATGTATATGTATGCATGCACAACAAATTATACAAAAAGATTCTGCTGATATTTAAAAGTAGATTATATAATGATGGTGATTGTATCATTCTTACAACCAGTCTGTTTAGTAATATTTATTATGTAACTTTCATTACTTCTAAAAAAAAATATAAACACATAAAAATAAATTTAACCTCATAATTATCAATTTAAGTAATTATTTGAACTTTACTTTTTATTTGATTTTATGCTTTTTTTCTTTTTTTAATTATTTTTCTTTAGAATTTTCTGCATTTTTCTCTAGTTTTAATATTGTTTAAATATAAATTTGAATATTTTCACTTTCTTTTTATGTTAATGACTCTAAAATTCATTTTAATTGATGCAACATTTGGTAAATTTCTAGTATATTATCATGATAGATGTTTTTGAAATTGATGTACAGAATCTTACACATTTTCATATTGATTCTTTCTTAATAATCTCACATGTGTTTATCTGTCACACATTGAATGATCAAATTCTTATCCTTGTTCTTTTATATAACCAAGTTGGCAAAAGTACATTTTTTGTTTATATAAGAAACTAGTAAGTAATATGCTTACTTAATGTATAATAAGTAAACAATTTTTATTACCAAAATCTGTTACACATTTATAAGTCTACCATTCATCCATGCATTGAATGTTTTCATCTGTTTGATATAAAACAGATTAAAAATTCTTGTGTATCATAGTTATTACAAACCTCTTCAAAATAATTTTAATTTTCTCTAAATTCAAACTTCAGCTAAGTAAATAAAACTATATCTCATTGTTTTATAAGATGCTACTTTTATATGTTATATAGCTATCATTGAAAAATAGAATTATACTTGCAGATATTTATATTGATTTGACTTTCAAAAAAATAAAAATATAAAGAAAAAACTTTATCATATTACAATCACTATTTTTTGCAGGTTATGCTATATTAATCTTTTTCTTCATTTCTAATTTTCCCACCCAGTGTCCCGAGAATTTCCGTCGGTCAGTCCGTCCGAATGTTGACGATTATGAAGATTATGACTCCCCAATGGACACCCCTACAGAACGCACCTTGGTGCGCCTTCACAAGAGAGTGATCCGTGCCTCCCAAATCTACCAGCGCACTCACTGCCAGTGGAACATGCTCATGGAGAAGGTGTTTGCACTGGAGGAGGTTGCTGATAATGAATCCAACCCAGACCGTGAATTCAAACACTACTCTTCAACTGATAGTGTTAGAGTTCTTCTGAGCAAGGTTTATACCCCAACTGTGGGTAAGCATTTCTTGTACTCTTCATGATTGATATAGTGAGTTACCAAACTTGAAACTGAAACTTAGTCTTCAAGGATTACTGGACTAAAGAAAGAGTAAAATTAATTCTAAAAACAATGAATTATTTCATTTTGATAATAATAATCCTCCATTTAACTTTATCCCTTTCTCAAATTTGCATGTATTTGTATTTTGAAATAAACTTTATCAACTATAAATTGTCTTACTACAACTAACCCATTACCTGTATTTCGTATAGATAAAATGAAACTGTATATAAATTATGCCTTGATTATTACTGTTAATTAAATCTTTTCAATTTGATTTAAATGTTTATAATCACATCTTTGTGTGTAACAATGGGATTTTATTGTTTTAATAGCCACCAAGCATACAGTAGTGTTTTAAACAGAAACACACAAACTCCAGCAGTCAGGTTTAGCTTGAGTGTGTCAGCATTGAAGTAAAATCTATTTCAAAGCAACAAAAATCTTTTGTAGTGCATCATTTTTATTCTTGACTTCAACTGAATCCAAAGTTGTTTTAACTCTGTGCCTCAAAATATTGACTGGAATACATTTTGTTGATATTGTTCATAATAAAGAAGAAAGTAAATAAAAAAAAAACATCAAATAAAATTAATATGGCTAGTTGGGCTGAGTAGGTCTGAGCCTGATCAAAGCTTGAGACATACTTAATAAGCAATGTATTTCTTGCTTTAATTTTATAATCTTTTAAAAATCTAATGACTTGTATGCCCTGTTTTTCAAAGAACACATTTATTTCAACTTATTGTTTCCAAATGTCCATTTTAAATAATTTATTCCATACAGAATAAGGTTTGTTTTAGCAGAATATCTCTTTTGAGAAAGGGCAAATTAAATTTAGCTCAACCTTTAAATTGGCCAAAATCAAATAAATTGGCAGCCTTAACTGTCAACTGAAGGGTTGGGGTGATGAGTGTGACTGGGTTACTGTTGAGGAAATATGATATCACTCAGCAGTAATGATCTTAAACTTGTACAATAAATTAAACTAAAAACTCAAATAGAGATACATAAACACACTAACACATAGCCATATATACAAACACACACTGGAGATAGATACACATGTTATTTAAAAAAAAAACAAACATGTCTGACTTTGTATTCATTCTTTTTCTTCTTTCATGTCTGGAAAAATCTTTCAAAATAAATATTTATTTTTATCAAATTATTACAATTAATATACCAGAATATGTTGTTTTTATTATTACTATTATTATTAATTTCATGCACAGATTTTTTTAAATTATATATTTTACTTAGAGTAAAAAGGAACAATTTTAGCATCTAAGTTATGGAAATAGTATATGTTCTTAAAGATTGTAATGAGCCCAACAAACATTGGTGACCTAGAATTACCACTGATTATATATTTATTTATTTTACAGCTATTTATACGTGTGTACACACATGCACAGGTTCACTTTTTCATTATTTACTTAAGCAATACTGGTATCTTTTTCTCATCTTTGTTGTTATTATCACAATGTTTTAACCCTTGTGGTCTCTGCTTCTTCTTCAGGTGTCTATCAACCTGAGTAATCGCCAGTGAATTTCAGGGTTCATTTTGAAATTCCCTGAAGGTTACTTGGATTGATACACCTAAAAAAGGCCAGAAGATACAAATGGGTGAAATGTTGGGATAATAACCTCAAAAGCTGAAGATATTAGTTCAACTGTAAATGTAAATAATGACTAGTTTATTTCCAATGTTGATAACTTTATAAGAGGCTGCAAAAAAGATTAATCTTTTTGACATGTCAAATTAACATAGCTGATTTATTACTGAACTTTTTTACTAAATATTACTACAGCACCATCTTTGTTTCCACTCCTCAATTTTTACAATTAGTATTTCAAAATATTGATCATAATATTTTAAAGTGTTTTTGTTACTATTCAAAATTTCAAGACAAATGAAAATACTATAATATGAGGTGGGTGCAAAAAATTCTCAGCCTAGCCAATAAGCTCATCTGCACCAAATTCTGATACTTGGCAATTTAGTAAGATGTTGGGAAGTGGTTCAGGAACTTTTTAGAACCTGCTGCATATTTCTATTTGAACTTTATTAGTATAGATGTTCTCAAGAAATATTTCCTATTAACTAACACAGTTTTATTTACTTCTCTACCATAATAATGTGCACATTGTAAAATATTTTTCTCTGCAGAATGGTATTGGAAATGTTTATTCCGCCCCTGGGTAATGAAGGGTCTGGCTGTTGTACTAGTTGTCATGTCATTTATGGTAGTATGGTCTGAGTGCCTCTTCTTTGTTAAGAAGCCTGTCCTCTCTTTATTTGCTGTATTCATCAACATTGCCAAATTGAACTATGATTATGTTTATATTGAGGTTAGTATACATCTTCTCTTTTCTGTTCATCTTTATGGATAAAAATTAAAAGAAAAATGTGCAGATTTAGTATAAGTTCTGCTATGTGACTTTAATGTTTTTTTACTGTTTGTATATAGAAATTTTCCTGCACTACTTAGAAGGGTATTTTTTCCCTTTGGTATCATTACTGTTTATAGCATTTATTTGGATACTACTTCCTTAGAGCAAAAACTCACTACAAAATGCATGTACACATACTCTAAATAAAAAGAATGTCCAGTATCGATGATACCCAAGTCACTTCAGTCACCCAAAAATGGTCACTGAAGTAAAAAGTAAGCTTGTCTGATTAAGCTATTGTATTATATTGATTTCATATAGAAAAGCAGACAGTTATCACTACACCTGACAAAATGTAGAATAAAGAAAAAAAAACACCAGTCTTGCAACTGGCTACCTGGAATGTCAGGTGTTTTATATCAATGACAGCAGGAAAATGGCATTGACTTTGACCTGAGGATTTGGGGCATTGATATAGAAGCACTGCTGGAAACCAGACTTATTACAGGAGAAAGATTACAACTTATTTTGACAAAGTAGGGACTCCCCTACGGAACCATCTACTAGATAAGAATGTCACCAAAAGAGTTGTGTGTATAATAAAGCCTGGGTAAAACCAGAGAGGATGCCACACTGTTCAAGCATCCAAGTTGGAACTTAATGATCAGATGGAGTGAGTTCTCAAAGTAAATGCAACCACAACACACAAGAGAAATGGTGAGTCTTTCATGACATTTATACCACCACCATGTCACCCCTTAAGAAGAGGAAGAAAAATAAAACACAGTAGTTTTGAGATCTACCTGATGGAACATTTCATTGATACCAAGAGAGGCTCTGATCAAGTAAGATATGTCAAGAGAAAAAACAAAAAAAATGTCTCTCTGCTCTTTGAGATTCTCTCCTACCTTGTGCCATCATCTACTTTCAAAGCTCTTTGCATGCTTCAGAGTAAACCATGTCATGTTATAATCATAGGGATGCTATTTGCCTTAGCATCTCGTATGTAATCTGATCTTCATGGGCTAGTAAACTGGCTAGTGCAAGCTTGCCAAGAATTCTGTCTCATCAACTTAGGATTGACAATATCCAGTAACCTGCTCCTTGACCCAGAAATCAATAGGTAGATAGAGAAAGCCACTGTTGTCATAGTCTGGGTGTGTGGGGATATCAAGCTCAACACACCCACCAAAAGTAGTGTGTACAGAACTTTTGTCTTGACTCTCCACTTTGACGTTGGTGAGAGCTGGACAATCTAAATGCATCAAACATACCATCTCAGCATACTTCACTGATTTAGCTATAGCCATTTAATGCAAGATGGTTACATCCTGAAAGACATTGGAGTTTGTAAGAGTCTTAGCCTATAGGCACCTGTTGTTGCAATACAGAGACATTTGCAGACATGAACTAAAGTTCATTGATATCAGGGTGTGTACTTTAAATGAGACAACTGCAGATTGCAGTGTCTAGTAATGGGTTGTAAATGTAAGGATCACCATTAAAAGGAAAAATGGACCAGGTTGTGGTTGGTTAGAAAAAGACTGTGGCAGTAGGTATCCAGCCACTAGCCTTTATGCACAATAACTATGTTATGGACTGCTACTCAAAAATTGTCTTGTTCAACCATGTGTGGATGCTGTTCCACATTCAGCAGAGTCTTCAGTGTATACATTCATTGTCTAATTAAACAGTCTATAAAAAAAATAGATTGATATATCTCCATCTCAGTCAGTTGTTGCATATAACAAGAAGTCCAATTGAATATCTACAAATTATTCCTATTCTTAAACAAATTAAAATTTTTACTCCTCTTTTGCTTCTCTCTCTTCATTTGTGAGAAAATTATATAAACAGAATGTGTATCCTACTTTCTATTTACTCCATTGCCTTGCCTGAAACACCATTTTCAAAATTACATATTAGATACTATGGAACAGTGGAAAATTGCTAAATGAAATGAAAATTGCCATCTTTATTTTTCTGTAAAAATTCTTATATATAAATTCATTAGATGCAGCAATTTTTTGTTAATGAAATAATTCTCATTCATTATTTCTTATTAATAAGAATACAAAAGAAATTGTCAATTTCTGTATGTCTCTCTATATTATATTTTCAGACATTGAATTGAAAGATTAATATTCAAATATTTTTATTTTACTTTTATTTTACTTTTATTTTCTTTTTTTTCTTCCAGATGGCTTCTATTTTGACAATTGGATTTCTCTGTTTCTGTGCCTACTACACAGTATTTCAGATTCGTATCTTAAACTATTATTATATTGCTCCACATCACCAAACAAATGAGTACAGTTTGATCTTCACTGGCATGTGAGTATTGCACCTAACAAATGTCTATAAATCAATAGAATAAAAAAACTATAAAATTATAAATAATTATTAACATCTACAACAATTTATATTATATATCTTTTATCTACATGCAAGTACTGAATTGATTATGAAATTTATTTTTTTTAATTATATTAAAAGTAATGGAGATAAATATATGTTCTGAACATTAAAATATGTGTTGACCAACACCAAGTTACTCTCAGGATTGAACTCACTTTTGGCTGCCTGACCTGTATATATTAACCAAACTGGTATAAGGCTCTCTGATTATAATTTCTCTGATAGAATGGCAATAAATTTACTTTTATCTTATTAAAGATAGAAAGTGCTTTAACTAAATGTGTCCCTCAGTGATAAAGCTAGGATTATAAGACAAAATCTGAAAGTTGGTGTTTGTTATTTGACCTCCAAGAAGAAAAATCAAAGCAAAGAGCTCTTCTCCATAACAGTTACTTTAGTACTTAAAGGAGAAAGTGGGTTGACCAAAAGATTTGTTCTGTTTTTGTTGCTAGATAAGAATTAGAAGCATTTAGTTCTAACTTCAGTCAAAAAGATTTGATTGGATTGTAACGGTGGTACTTTTTTTTTTTTTTTTTTTTTTTTTTTTAACATTTGTTTATTAACTCTGACATTGAAAATGGAAGAAAACATTTTTTGATATATTCATTTTTATTTAAATGAAGATAAAAATGCAACTAAAAACTATCTATAGTTTGTGGAGAAGCTACTGTGAAGGATCAAACATGTTAAAAGTGATGTGCAGCTTTGTACAGGAGATTTCTCAACATATGATGTTCTGTAGTTAGGTAGACCAGCTGAGATTGACAGTGATGAAAACAAGACATTACTTGCAAATAACAGAATGCAAAAAATTGTTAATATATATAGAATATTGGAATTGCACACTGAAAAACCATTTTCACCAGCTTAGTTATTTTATTTGCTTTGGTATTTCTTGTGTGGGTGTTATCTATTACTAGTAGCAGAGCCCGGTGTTGCCTGGGGATGTAACAGTAAGAGATAGATCAAGTATCGACCATCATAAAGACTGAAAAATAAAATTGACAAAGATTATTGTTTAAGGTTTATATCTTAATTAGTTTTTTTTTTTTTTTTTTTTTTTTTTTTTTTTTTTTTTTTTTACGAATTGGTCAAACCCAAACAAAAACATTGTTTTCAATCATTATGAGTCTACCGATTGAATAGAATTTTATTATAAACAATTGTCTTGTAAATGAAATTTTTAAAGCATTCTGAATGTAAAAATAAAGAAAAAAGTGTGCAAGACAATAAGAAACACTACCTGTCAAAAAAAAGTGAAGTTTTGTTGAAATCGGTTGAAAAATGTAAGAAATCCGATCCCATATATAAACAAACACACACACACAAACAACCTGGGTTATTATAAGTATAACTCGATATGAGTTGTCCCCCTTTCATTCTTGCAAATTGTGTTTTTCCAATTTTTGCCGCTGTCAGAACCACCGCAAGGTAATTTTACATGGTCCTGTGAAGTTTTGCTGAAATCGGTTGAAAAATGTAGGAAATCCGATCCAATATATAAACGAACACACAACCTGGGTTTTATAATAAGCATGATTTATATGTAACAAAAATGTTCCCTTCCTGAAACAAATTGTGACAGGCAATAAAAACTGGATATTTTAAAACAATATGTAATGCAAGAGATTGTTGGGTAATGAAAATGAGCCACTACTAAATGTAACAAAAGTCAGCCTTTGTCTAAAGGAAATGATGCAGTTTATATGGTAGGAATTGAAGATAGACCCTTATTATGGGCTTTCTTCTGGAGAACAAAATAATTCATACAAGTACTGTTCCTAATTTTACCAATTTTGAAGGCATGAATGGAGAAAAAAATTCTGAAAATAGTTAAGCAAAAAAGAATAATTTCATCAGGATAATGCTGAACAGCATATTTCATTGGTAATGAGGTAAAAATTATCCCAATTTGGCTGGGAAGTTTTCAATCATTCACTGTATTCAGTAGATATTGCATTTTTTTAAGAATACTATTTATTCTAGTTTTTGTAAGATTGTCAATAAAAAAAATATTAAATTCCCTGGAAGACTAAGCTTTTAAGCAGCTTTAACTGTTCTTTACACAAAAAGTTTTAAATATTTATCAGAGGATGGAATTATGTACTTCAATAAATGCTGAAAATAAATAATTTTTTTTTATTTTTCTTAATAAACCATACAAACCTTTTACATTACTAAATAAATATCTACACTTAATAAATTTTAAGAGTCTTTTCACCAGAGAAATAATCATAGTGACTTCTGAGATTTGGTGAAGATATGCAACCAGAACTAATGTATATCTATAATGATCAACTAATTCAGCAAAATGAATTGCATTACTCAATCAAATGCATAAGCATTATTAACCCTTAATAGTACATGATATATATGTGTCTTTGACTTCAGTGAGTGCTTACAAATTTTTTTCAATCTTTGTTTTAAAACAAATACGTATTCTATAAAGTTTCAATTTTACCATACTCTTAAAAAAATAACTGTAGTTATCATTACAGGAAAATACTTTATTACTTGACCATTAAAGGCATAAATTTTGTTACTTTCTTTCAGGATGCTTTGCCGTTTGACTCCTCCTATGTGTCTAAATTTTTTAGGACTCATTCATTTGGATAGCCATATTATCCATGAGAGCAATTTGCAGGAAACTGCTTACACAACTGTAAGAAAATGAAATTCTCATCTTCTCTTTGTTTTTCTTTAATAGAAAATTACACATTATTTCTTTTTTTTTTCTTTTTTCTTATTCAGATGACATTTTAAAATTCATTCTTAAAATCATTAAATTTTAATAACAAAAGTAAAAAATACAATATTTTTTCTCAACAAAAATCACTTTCAAAACAATAACTATTTTTCCACATATAATTATGGAATGTTAGTTTGATTTTTCTGTGATTTCTGCTCTTATACAATGTGACAGATTGATTTAAATACAGTTTGATTTCAATACCTGTTGTATCATGATTATCAAAGAGTAACTTATCAGGTCTTCCCTACATAAAATATTCCATCTATGTATACATGATACACACACAATTTGATATTTGAGCAGTGTTGAGAAAAGATAGTGTAAAAAAAAGTCTTTTTGACATGACACTCAAATGTAGTTAGAAGTACAAAAAGCATGGAAATTCTTTACACAGACCATAATTTTTGAAAAGACTTATTAATTATATAATCCTACATTTTAATTCTATTATTTAATATATTTTTTTAAAGTATAATTAAAAAAATATATTTATATTGAATAGTTATTGTTTTTGCTTATTTATATCTTTATTTACAGTTACTTTGAATAATTTTGCTTTCAACTTTTTTAGTTACTTTTCATTATCTTTTATTTCTTACAATTATAAATCTTTTTTGTTTTATGAGAAAAAACAAATGAATGCCATATTTTTAATAGGGTCACAAAATATCATTATGATATTGAGATGTAATAACATTGATGAAAAATAGCACCATTTACAAAAGTTAAAATTTCTGATACATTTTTTTTTCTTTATAAAGTAGCATCTAATATTAATGAACAGAAGTTTAAAAGCCAAAATTTCCAATTCTACAGATCATGATAAAAATGCTGTAAATATTTTTAAAAATTTGTTCTACATTATGGTTAAATTGAATAAAAAGAACCAAGGATAAAAAAAAAAAAGTTATAGAACAAAAACTGTCACAAAAAAAAACTGTAGCATCCAAAATTAGAGAACAAAATTTTAGCTACACATTTAAATTAATATTATTGACTCAATACTGACACAGAATATTAATTAGATGTTTACATTAATACTTATGCTATGACCACAGGGCTTCACTAATTTGTCATATTGTTCAGGCATGATTTTGTCCCATTCCTCCTGCAGTTTTCTTACACAAATTGGCTACTGTTATCAGTTTCCTTAACCTAACACAATCACTGATGGTCTTAGAAAGATTCTCAATTGAACTAACCTGTTTTTTTTTTTCAGCTTCAAAGAATTGCTTTACCATTTTTGCAATATGACAAGTGGCATTATCTTACATAAAGTTGGACCAAAGAAAAAAGAGATGCTTTTATAGAAGAAACATGCTGTTCAATGATATTCTTATAAACTGCTATTTAACTAAATGAATGGGCTAACACCAGAGAAAATCCCACATGCTAATACACTATCACTTCTGAATGTAATTTTTTTCACACAGTTCAGAAACAATATCTTTGCAGTGTCCAACATTCTGCTAGCTGTCAGAGATTACCAAATTAAACTTCCATCCATGAAGAACTCTTTTGCCCAATTTTCATCAATCCAGGTAACTTGCTGATAAGTGGTTTGATGGCAGAACATGCATGATGCCCTGCTCTGTATAACTGATACAACATTGTCAGTTTGATGACAAATTCTTTGGTTACCTGGCACGCAATGCCTCCTGTCTTTGAATCCCATGATTCTGCTGAGAATTCATTTTACATGACCACACTAGTAACTTAAGCTAATATCATCATCATCATAAAGCTTTAATATTTTAGAAATGACACTTTTAGAATTTGTCATTCTTTTGAACTTTTAGCCAACACCCGAGTAAATTATCAACGTTGGCTTATCCTCACTTAGGAAAACATATTTCAGATGAATAAGGAATATTTGTTTACAGTTCAATGTTATCATATTTTGTTGGTAACTGTCATAGTTTTTTGTTTATTTTTATTTTGCTATGTTGGCTCCAATCTGTATTGGAATGAATGCAAAAACATCCCTCTCTCCATATTTATAAAACAAGACACATAGATGCCTGCTCCGATTTTTTCCTAACCAATAAAATAGGTCACTTCTCGGTCTAATCAGACTTATGTTGGTTTGTTCTTGTCCTGAAGTCAGATTGCTTTGATGACTTGTCTGTAGCTCCTTTTGTGTGTTAACACCATTCTTAGTTTGTGACCCTTTTGGCTTATTGCTGCTGTTTTGCCTTGCATATATTGTTTGCTCGGTTATTTTTGGCCCAGTTTTTCTTTTTTTCTTTCTCTTGTTATTGTTTCTTACAAACTTTATCAATTTTGTTTGTTGAGCCTTTCTGCCAATTATATTTAACCATGACCAATTACTCTACATACAGAAATAACCTATTTATATAAATGACAGTATTCGTTCTATGATTTTGGATATAAGTAGTTTTTGCTTTATAGCTTTTTTATCCTTGGTTCATTTATATGCAAATTTACAATAGCCTAGAAAAACGGTTTTAAGAATATTTAATGCAATCTGTAGAATTCTAAAAATGTTATTTTTAAACTTTCATTATCTACTAATATTGTGTATGCCTATAAACAATAAGTGTGCATTAGGTTTGCTATCTTATTTTTCATTTATTTTGTTTCAATCAGATCATGGGACACATGGATGTTATCTCTATAGTATCTGATGGGTTCAATATCTACTTCCCAATTGCAATAGTGTTGCTATGTATCTGCACTTACTTCAGCCTGGGAAGTCGCATCCTGCATTTTCTTGGATTCCAACAGTTTGTTGGGGATGATGATATGACACAGGAGCTCATTGATGAAGGAAAAGAACTCATCAGAAGAGGTAAGTGCAGTTTTTATATTGATTAGAAATAACAAAAATTGCTTGTTTCTAAACATCTTTACTCATTACTCTTCTATAATTGTTAAAGGAAGAGTTAGTCACCCACAAATTTTATGTACGTATTTTATTTGGTATCTTTTAAAACATTGAGTAAATATTATCTTTAAATCTTTTTCAAAGAGAAACGGCGACGTGAAAGAAAAGCAGATGGAGAAGCACGAAGAAAAATGTGGAATGAACAATTTGGAAATGGGAAATCTACAGCCACAGATAGTCCACGGCGAGGTAAGCCAAGTTTTTGTGTTTTATTTACTTTATTTTATTTTTATTTTTTTTTATTTTTTTTTTTTTTTTTTTTTTTTTTCAGGTATTTATTTAAAACTAGCAAAGTAGTTGGGCTTTTTCCAGATAAATAACAAAACCCCACACTATAATTTTCACAGCTTTATTCTCTGTAGTTGAAAAATAACTGTCTACAGAAATATACTGACTTTTTTTAAAAATAACTCAACAATTTTAACAAATTTTAAAACCTTTAAATCCCAAAATAAGATTGTCTTTTCTTGAACAGATAATTGAATTAATATAAATTTATTGATTACATCACTATATGAGGAATTGATCCCTAAAAAGAACAAACTCTCATTCAAGTAATATAAAGATCAGCCAATATATTAAAGAATACAAATTTTTTTTGCTGTATAATTCTGAAAATGAATATATGTCCTCAATGTAAAAATGTATAAAGGAACAAGAGATGATAAATAAAAATTGATAAGCTAAAGGTTACAAGAAACTTGGCTATAAGACTGATAGAATATTTAACATACAGTTTTTATACTACTTTTCAACTTGTGGAATAGAAAGTGTGGCACAACAATAACTAACAGAAGAATTACCAAAGAACTTTATCAAAAGAAACAATCAAATGGATAGGTTTCTCAAAATTTATGTTCAATGAAGTAGCTGCAACTTTTAGTGTAACCAGTTTGCTTCATTAGATCACTTCATACCTCCTCCTTCTCTAGAACATGCTGTTGAACAGATAGGTACTAGTCTCTTGACTAAAAGCTATGATGGAATAAAATGCCCACATAAATGAAACTGGTAAAAACAATGAAATGACAAGATTTGAAAAATAAAGCTGCCATTACAAGTAGCCATGAGATCTCCTGATCAATTTTTTTATGTGTTCCATTCCTGATTGTAGGTTTCCTCAAACCCTGTTATCCTCCAGGAATGTGAGAGTATACATTTAACTTTTTTGAATAAACTTTAAGAACCTTGGCAATGTGAAAAACAAGAACACTGATCACAGCAGGACAATGTTTTGTTGACCAGGATGATGCAGTCTTGTATGTAATGCATATCATGTTGTGGAAATGATAGAAACAGCATCCAGCAATAATAATAACTATTGGGTGTGCAGTATCTGAGAGTAAAACAAATAACCTTCTAGGTAGAGAGCAAACATTTACCCAGACGTTTTAAGATTGTTTACTGATGCACATACTGTGAAGAAGTCTCATACATCATAAAACCAGACACAGTAAGTGGTGGTTTGACTGATATAAAAAAAACAAAAAACAATATTAACAGTAAAACAAGAAAAACAAGTTAGGACAGCTTGAGCTACAAAATGAGGTTTTGTTTCTAGAAAAGAAACTGAAAAGACATTTTGGAAGTGCAATAGTATTGGGTAAAGAGAAAAAAATCAAGTAACTGGAGTTCAAAAGGTTAAATGTCCATATTAAAAGTAACTTTGTCTCTTGAACATTTATATAGAAGACCTTTTGTACCTGATACTAGTGAGTTTAAAGACTATATTTTTCTCAATTTCTGTTGTATTGTTATATTGTACATATTACTGGTGAATATTGAAAGTGGCATTTTTATTTTATTTGATTCATATTCAGTCAATATGTTTTTTATCATTACATTTTTATCTGTACCATGAAGTTTCATTGTTTGTTTTTTCTAGCCTTCACTTATAATGAGATCAATGTTTAAATTCAACTTACATTAAAACAAGAGTTTTTCCTTTGTAATTTATAAGATTTTTGCTTCGTAGGAAAACATATAAATTTAATATTGACCCCATCAAATCTGTGACACTTTATCACAAAAATGACACCAATTCTACAGCTGGTAGTGTCTGCGTTTTGGACAGCTATTTAAATTTATGCTTATTGCCACATAATAAAACATTTCATAATGAAATAAGCATTTATGTATTGATACTTAAAAATAAATAAAACGGTAATATTCTATTCTGAATTAATTGTAATCTGATAGTGTTTTATTCATTTTCAATAATCTATAGCAGCTTGTTCAGAAACTTTATTTGATGGTTACAAAAATATCAAAATTCCAAATGGTTCATTAATAGAAAAACAGTTTGCTGTTTTATATATATATATATATATATATATATATTTTCAAGTAATATAATGGAATATAGTTTTAAGGTATGCTATATTTATGTGATAAAGTGCTCAATATCAAACACCGTATGTAAATATAAAAGTGGACATTGAAGTCAACACTCAGAGACGACACTGTTTCATGCTAAACGCAATCATTTAGCATGAAACAGTCTGTATATAAGAAAAGTTTGTTTACATAAAACATTCCTTCACTTGATACTACCCAAGATTTGAATTAAACATAAGTATACCTCTGATTTTGGATCAGGACTTTGCACAATTACCAATCCAATGTTCTGTCTTTTTTTTTTGTTTGTTTTTCCTTCCAAAATGCCACTTTATGCAATTTCAAGTTTGTACAAACTAATGCATATCTTTATTCTTTTTCAGGAAAAGTTCCCCGAAGTCCTGATGAAAATGATCGTACAGAATTGTTACGCCAAGCTGAACCGGTGGACTACATGGGCGATACAACCACAGACTCACTAGATGATTACATGAATATGGGGCTCAGTGCTGCCACTGGTTACCAGTCACAGCATGTGTCACAAGCCCCTTCTAGATACAGCTCAGTTGGCAGGATGGGTCACAAGCCACCAAAAGGAATCTTTGATGATGTATAACAATCTCGTTCCTAAACTAGAAAAATATAATTTAAGACAGAAAAAATATCTTTTAGAAAAATAATTTTTAGAGGGAAAATTCAAGTGGAGAATTTTTCTATTTTTATTTATTTCTGTCAAGACAATCTTTAAACATGTGAGGAAGGAAAAATTTAAAAGGATTTTGTTACAGTATGAAAACTCTTTAGGGTGTAAAAATAGAGAAAAGTATTGCGATCAACTCTTATGAGGTTTCCTACCTCCTGACCAAATATCTCTATATGTGTATGTTCCTAACTTGGTACATTCCACACTTCTGATCTTGACTCAGTCAAATTACTTGGACCACTTCTCATCCAATAGAGACATTACAAAACAAAAATATCAACATTCCAAAGAAAGAGACAAAAATAAGACATTACAACTATAATAAAAATAATTCCAATAATTCTTTGGCTAACTTTATAGTGTGCAATTTAGAGGGGATAACTGAAAAATATTTTGCAGGTGATACCAAAAGACCGGGAAGTAATTTCTTTAACTTTAATGATTTTTCCACTACATGTATATCTGGCAGCAATTATAAATAACTCCAATAAAAAAAAAAAAGCCAACAGTGATAAGTCGACTCTACAACCAGTTAAAAATTCCAGTTTGGTTCACCTAATGTTTTGTTTTAACCACTTGTTACATTTCAACTCAATGAGGATATAAGCTAGAAAACCCTGTTTCTTCTAGCAAGTAATTATCAATTCCAATTTAAGCCAATCAAAACAATGAAATAACAGATCTGTTGGGTTTTTTTTTGTATTTATTGAAGGCATTTAACAAATTCAACTTGAAAAGCTTAAATGAAATTCTAAAATGAATCTATATATCCTAAGTTTTCATTAAAGTAAATTAGATAAAAAAAGTATAAAAAATAAATCCTAAGATTGCAAGATAAAAAAAAAAAAATCTTATAAATCTTTGATCAGCTGACATAAAATGAATTCTCACAGCTAAACCAATGAAGGTTTCATTTGTATAGTCAGTGAAGTGAAACAATTGAAGCAGTCCTCCTTGGTTTTATGTACCATTGTTGACTTTCTTGAAATTTTATGCTCAATTAGAAGGAAATTGTAGTGGAAAACTTCCCCCACCAATATATTTGGACATTCCATATGACTCCTTGAGTTTTGCATAATAAAAATAATTATTTAAAAAAAAAAAAAAAAAAAAAAAGCTTATTTTTTACAACTGCCTGATATCTTAGGAAAATATGATGATACACACACAGTAACTTCTCAAAAAAAAAAAACAAATGCTTAAAATAGAAAAATAAATTGACTTTTTCTCTCCATTTTTCTGTGAAAATGATGCCTTTTAAAATTCAAATTAATTTTATTTTAGAAATGTAGACACAAAGTAGGTGGTACTGTATCCATCCTGATTGGATATATAGGCTTACTAAGAGAAAATATTAGGAGTTAAGTAGCTGGACAGTAAATAAGAAACGTGGATGAAACTCTGGGTATACAGGTTGTTCCCAAAAACACAGCTGTGTGTGTGTGAGTGAATGAAGGATAAAGACAGTCCTTTGCTAAAACAAATGAATTAAAAATTTTTGGTTACCCTACACTTCCATATACTTTTTAATATTTCATTTCAGTATAATCACTGAGCTCTGTTTCTGTACAGTTGGACCAGTTAAATATTTCTTTGCATTTTCAACACATTTTATAGTGGAAGATGACTTTAAAAGTGCTATCTCCCTACTCAGCACAACATTCCAATTACTTTGCTAAGTGGCTTTTACTCTTTCACCGTTACATAAAATGGTAAACTTTTATTAATTGAACAACCAGCTGTCATATTCAGAAACATTGCTCTGTAAGCCAATATTGATTTCCTTTCCACTATTTATTTTTAACAGTTTCATTTTGTTAATTTCTTGTTTTCAAGGCTGGTAAGTTTTTCCAATTTGCTTTGAAAAATAAATATTACAGCCATTGCAATAACACTAATATTGTAAGATATCCCATTTTAATTGGAACTGAAGGACTTATGTTTTCAGCAATGCTACAGTGAAAGGGTAAAATCAGACATCAGTATAACATTACCAAACACTGGTCTAGTTAATAATGTGGTAACCTAAAGAATTTTGCTTAAAAAAAATAAAATTACAAGGTATTATCACAAGATCATTAATTCTGTTAATTTATATGTGAGTGGTTCTTGAATAAATATAGAATTGTTATTTTTAATTATTCTCTTAGTGCTAAATTTTATTTGGATTGAAGGGGCACCAGGAATAAGTTAGATTGTTCATTTTTGTTTTTTTTATGAATCAATTTACAAATGACTTTTTGACTGGCTTCCACATCTGCCAAATTAAAATTCATAATACACATTTAATCATTTTATGCATGTTCTGTCCAGTCTTTTCATTTGTCTTACTATTGTGCATGTATAAATTTTTAAAAATTTAAACAAATTAAAACCCAGATTTTTTTTTTCATTGTTTTAATACCTTTATTATTATTTTTTCTTTGTAAAGAACTCATTTTCTTGAATTAATCTTTCTACTCTAGTGCAACATTACAAATCCTATCTCAGAATTGCTATTAAAACAATTTGTCAATCAGCTTTGTAACTGAAACCATCACATGTTTACTGTATTCCTATTTCTCTGAGTGATTCTTGCTCAGGGTTATTTTCCTACTACTAACTTTTTGAGCATAGGACAAAAATCCTTTTCTTTTTCTTCAAACTTGTATGAATTCAACTTCAGTATTTGAAAATATTAAAAATATATGAATATGCATGTGGGAGTTACTGACATAAAATCATATCCCCAGTCTTAAATACAAAAGCTTGGTGTTTCAAAACCCATGCAGTTATCAATTTGTCAAAAGAACTTTCATTTTCACCCTCAGAAAATAATGTTTAACTATGACACCATAATTCAGATTACAATGTTAAGGCAGTCTGTGGTAGGAAAAACCTTTACTTTTTCAAGTTAAAGGATATAGCCTATGACCTTTTGCTCTCTAAACTTGCAAACTCCAATTTTAATCAAATATTTATATTAGACTGTTTACACAAAATCTTCCTTTTCAGTTGAAATTGAGCTCCACTTTAAAAAGAAAAAAAAAATGCTTCCATTGTATCTTGTTTACTTAGCTTGGCACAAGGTCCCAATTGGTAGACAAACTTACTAACAATTACCCTACTCTGAAGCACCCAAATGTAATTTGTTTAGACATGAGTTGATGTAATTTGTTTTTGTTAGTTAATGAAATGATTACAGAAATACACAAAGCTGGGTAAGTGTCACTATGACTGCTAAAAATGAAAGTATCTTATGAATATTCTTATTTCACATACAATATTTAAATTTTTTTGCAAGGTAAAAAAAAAAAAAATAAATAAATAAATAAATATTCTTAAATTTTAAAAAATTAAAATTTTTAAATTAAAGACAATGATACAGAATGAAATGCAAGAAATATTTATAATAAAACTATCTAACCCCCCATGTAAATTTATACAACTTTAGTGGATAGCTGACATTGATTTATATACTCTAAAATGAGAGAAGCCACACACACAAAAAAAAATGAAAGTCAGGTTGTGCCAAAATCTTTTCATCCTTTCACATGACCAATGAAGAATATCTGAGGTAATTTATCTTAAATGAAGACTAAATAGATACATCATTTTTGTTCTTTAAAGCATATATATCCATTTGTGCATAATTTAAAAATCATTTATACATCCCATTTCTTCCACAAAATAGTTATGGCCAAGGATTAATTCGACAAAGTATTGACGTCTTAAACAACCCTTACCTTCTAAATCAATATTTTTTAACTGACAAGTGCTGCAGCCAAAGGAGGGTTATAAATCTATACCTTTTCAACTTCAAAATGGACTTATTTTCAAGTAAAAAAAAATTAATCAACTTCAAATTGAGAAAAATGTCAAAAACCTAAAAACAATCAACTTCAAAATAAGAATAAACAACTTCAAATTGAGATATTTTTTTTGCTAAATTGAAAATTATTTTTTCAATTAATTTACCTCATGAGTAAGGAAATTGACTGTCTTCATTATATAGATGAAGAAAAAAAAAAAAAATATAAACAACTTAGAGGCCAAGAAAGCATTGGGTGAGCCTACAGTAAAAGTAGGAGAAAGTCCCGTATGGGCAAAAATGATGATGATGCTGGAGAAACCTCTACAAAAGAAGCTGAAGAATTAGCAACAGCTCCAAAGAGGTCTTACCTCAAGTAAACTGTGGCTGGCAAAAAAAAAAAAAAGGTCCAGATTTTAGCTGCACATGCCACAGCAGGAAATTGGAAAAACCTGGCAAGAACAATTGGTCGAATTAATTGAAAACTCTCCTAGGGTCACTCTTCAAGACATTGTAAATAAGTAAGTTGAAAAGTATGAGGTTCGTGTGACGAAAGAATGCATAAGCACTTGGACTCAGTGGTCTTTACTTTAAAAGCGATTCATTATGAACCAGAAGCTGCCAATAATAATGTCAATAAGGCGAAACATAAGGATTACGCAGTAGCTTTCTTAGAATTTCAGTCCCAATTCTTTATATGGATGAAACCAATTTTAATCTCCATATTTCAAGAAGAGAAGGTCACTCTAAAAAAAACCACAAGGTACACTACATTTGCAGCCGGATCCAGGGGAAATAACATCTATGTTATTGGATGTATTAGTAATAATGGATTAATTCATCATAAAATTAAGAGGTTCTTTCAAAAAAGAGGATGCGAAAGAATGGACCAGGGAGTGCCTTAGAAAGGCAAATGAAATTTATGAAAGGGGAAATGTCTTAGTTATTGATAATACTCCTTGCCATACTTCAATTGAAGAAGTGGAGGAGGATGAATTTAGGCAACACCAAATTTTCAGACTTGCCCCCCTATAGTCCGATGTTAAATCCCATTGAAAAGGTTTGGTCAGTCATTAAAACTGACGTAAAAAGAAGTATGGCAGACTCAATTGTTGGGATTTTAAGAGGTGATTGCCAGGGATCTTTAACTACTAAAGAATTCAGCCTCAGCCAAGTTAGAAGCGATGATCTCCGAGGCAATTAATATTTCCCAAGACTTGCACTAACTTCGTATCTGGAATACAGAGATTACTTCCCTCTGTAATTAAATGTAATCTTTTAAATAAATTTCTTAGGAACGTTTGTATTTTTTATATCCCTTTTAAGTAAAAATAAAAGAATAAATATTAAATTTATTATATTAATTCTCAATTTGAAGTTGATTAATTTTTTTTACCTGAAAATAAGTCCATTTTGAAGTTGAAAAGGTATAGAAACATCATTTAGCCAAAATGTTTTTCACTATTTTAAAAAAAAAAAAAAAAAGTGGACCAGTATATTTTAGATTTTTCCTTGCTTATTGTTTTTTTTTTTTTTTAATACCAGGAACTAATCTTGACAGCTAAATCCCATAAACAAACTCCCACTCCTGTCAATTTACATTTTAAATATTACTTAGAAAACAGCAACCCAATTGAAGTAGAAATTGCTGTATTTGTGAAACTTAAAATGATATAAATTCAGATGAAGTGTAAAGAAAAAAATGAAAAGCAGTTAAAATTAGAGGGGAACAATTAAAACAAGAATTAAGTTTAATTTAGTCAAGTAGAAAGGATTAATATCAAACTTAGAAAGACATTTACCCCAAATATAGCTTTGTCAAAGAAAACTGTTCCGTTCATTTTGTTATAGAAAAATAAAAGGATTAGGACTCTTGATCTTTAAGTGTATGGAATATATGGTCTTTGCTAATATAAATAGAAAGGAATTTGACTTCAGATATCGGGGGGGGGGGGAGCTTGAATAATTATGTAAGCCAAAGAGAAAAAAAAACCCATACTTTTTACATACTTAACACCTACAAAAGGCATCCATATTTTTTTATATTGTCAAAAGTAAATTATTTTGCATGAGAACTACAATTTTCTATTTCCCTATTATTCAAGTATTGAGTTTTTGCAAAACTCCAGCATCCACAATTAATGAAATAACAAAAATATTATGCATGAGAACTCTTAAATTTCTTTTTCCTGTTTTTTTTTTTTAAGTTGTATAACTTTTGAATACATACCCAAGCAAAATAAGTTAAAATATCATTTAAATAAAGAGACAACAAAATATTGTTTAAAGATTTTTTATGTGAATAACTCCGGTACCAGATTTATCAAAGCTTGTTGGGCACAACAGCTCAAAATGTCAATGATGAGAAAAGGCTGATAAGAGCAAACACAGAGGGCCATAGCTTCCTGGGATGTAGCCTCTGCTGCTTATGCAAACAGAGTAACAGAAGTAACAACAGTGTTTGCAACCCTAATTCATCAGAATTCAAATAAACTGAAACAATGATCTTGTCTTTCATTTCTTGGGAATCTCATCATCTCCACTCACACTACCATAGTCATCAGAATCTTCATCACCAGCAACATCTCTGTTCTGTTCCTCCAGACGTTCCAGCTGCCGGGCCAGTTCCTGTTCATCAGTGTCAGAAACCACTTTGGGCTAAAAAGAAAAATCACAATATGAAAACTATTTTCTTCCAAAGAAAATAATTTGTTGGAAATGCATTAAGTTAGTAGCAAAATCGATAAAAATTCAAAATGTGGTTGAATGCAAAAACAAAAAAGCTATTTCTCTCTGAACAACTTACTGGCATTTGAACGTTGAACATTCCACCCATTTCTTCAATGGCATTCTTCACTATCTTAGTAGCCTTTTCAAGTGCTGCTACACCCTCTGACCTTTCTAGCGTTTGAGTAGTCATCACATACAGAGGAGGAGCAATAAGGTTAATCTACAAACAATAAGAAATCAATTAATAGTAATAATTAAGAAAAGACAATTTTTATTAACACATCAATACCGGCTTTAATGGTGGGCAATAATGGGTTAACTATACTGAAATAAGCAATGTAGTTAATTCTTAATGAATGAAAAAACTGAACTAGCAAGTTCAAAGTAAAAAAAAAAAAAAAAAAAACTCTCATTTGGGGGGGGGGCACAAAACAAGTAGATAGATAAATAGAAGTTCTATTATCGACACTTTCAGCACTTAAAATGTTTTCTCTACATTAACACTTAAGGTCTAGAGATAAGATCTATAAGTCAAAAGTAGCCTCCTAATATAACAGGTAGAAACAACCTTTTGAATACAAAAATAAAAAGGCATCTCAAATTTATGCCCAAAACAAAGAGAATTGTTGTGGTATCTACATATCTTAATTCGTCTACAATAGATACATGACTAAAAGTTAGGAATAAAATGAATATTCTCACTTTAATTGGCATATCTTCTGTGGAAAGCTCCAGGCCTTTGTTAAGGGCAGCTTTTACAGCATCAACTCCTTCATATTTGTAACAAGCTACCTCGATATCTGTATGATAAATAAAGAAAACAACAGCTATGAATTATTCAAATTTAATTTTTATGCACAGACCTATCAATCATTAAAAAAAAAAAAACTAGTAAAAATTTTTTTCACATAGCAGACTTTATCTTTACAAAAGATATAAATAGACATTACTACAGTGATAAATAGTTTCTTTCAATTGTGTATATAAAGATAGCTGTTTGGGTGCATATTAGAGAAATGGATCAACAAATAGATTCATTCAGTTGTAAATTTTAACAAAAAAATGGTTTGCAGCTTTTTTTTTCTTTTTATAATCGAATCGTGTCCTATATGGAACCATCAATTGATCTGATGTGCTATACCACTCAACTACAGAGAAGCGTCTGGTTAGCAAAGTCCAATTTTTTTTTTTTTAAAAAGTAATTTAGACTTTGCTAACCAAACACTTCTCTGCAGCGGAGTGTATAGTGCATCAGATCAACTGACAGTTCCACATAAGACACAGATTCAATTCTTGCCAGAGAACACATATTTTCAACAAAATTTCTCAAACATTCAGGCCAGCAAATGTAATTGATATTGTCTATTTAAAAAAACAGAGCATTTACTTAAATAAATTGTATCTATTAAAAATAATATATAAATAGAAAATATATTAAATAATTGTCAGATTTAATCCATTGTGTGTGAGTGAGTGAGAGAGAGATCTGGACTGCTTAATCTACGGTATAAGGTAACCAAAAAAGCCCAAGCCAAAAATGGCAATGTCAAAGCAGCTCATTCAGGGTTGTTGGTTTTATGACTTTAAGGCAGGCTTGTCCACAGCAAGTTTTCAATTACATCAAGCCTTTGGGGATAATGCTGTGAGTGAATGCACCATCAAGCATTAGTTCCAGAAGTTCAGGTCAGGAGATCTGTCCCTTTGTGATGAACCCTGCAGTGGCTAGCCAAAGAGGACAACAGCTTGCCAAATGCTTCTAGGTTTCTGATGAAACAGCCAGACTTTACCTGCAGAGGAAAGGCATACAAGTCAAGCAAGTGGGTACCCCACACATATTAGTTGTCACCATAGGACCGTATGTCTCACACCACAAGACCACCCCCTACATCCAGGCAGGACTATGCTCTGTATCCGGTGGACTAGTTAACAAGTGGTGAACTATGAGCTGATACCAATGGGCCAAATCATCACTGTGGACTTGTACTCACAGCAGTTGGAACATGTACAACAAGCACTGAAGCAGAAGGAGTGAGTTTTGGTTAATAACAAGAGTGTACTGTTCCTCTATGATGATGCCAGACCTCATGTGGCACGGGTGACCAGAGATACCATACATCAACTTAGCTGTGGGGGGCATTGTGTCAACAGATTCCATTCCCTGGATAACTACTTTCATGGGAAATCCTTTGCAAATAAGTCAAACTTGCAGCAGGCACATCAGCAATAGGTTCTGTATAACAATAGGGATTACCTTCAGGACTAACAGTGTCTCAAATTTGCTGTATATCTTTTTTTCTTCTAATAAATCAAAAACAGCAAAGACTTTTTTGGTTACCTTGTAATATGAAAAAAAAAAAAAAAAAAATTATAATGCATACATTTCATTGAGGGCGAAAGAGAAAACCACAAGGAAAAAATCTCTTCTCAGTAAAAGAATGTTTTTTTTTTTTTAAATATATTGGTTTTCTGTGAAAACTTTGTTAGTGTAGAGAAAAAAGAAAAATGGTAAACAATATTCTTTGCACAGAAATCTTTTGTGATGGAGAAATGAAAGCTTGAAATCAAAAGTATTTAGCAAATTTATAGAAATTTAAAGAAAATACTGTGTGTGTGTGTGTGTGTGTGTGTATATAATTATTCATCAGTTACTCCTATCTTTTGTAAACACTACTTTTCAATGACAACTATGCCATCAATAAGATTTCTAACATCTATTTGAAATTTTCATTTATGGAAGACAAGAACTAATCAAAATTCAGACAAATTCTAAAATTCCAATTAACACAAGGAGAAACCAAAGCAAAATCTTTAGACCAAGTAAAATATATTCAGAACAACACAAATATATATCAAGAAGCTTTACCGACCTGCTCTAATTTTCACAGCTTGGGGTGTCAGTCGTCGGTGAATGTTATCCAGTAAAACAGTCTTTGTCTGCTCATCAATATCACATTCATCCAAGATACCTGGGTTTCTAAAAATAGGTTAGAAAAACTATCAGTTTCATTTTTTAATTTTTGCTAGACACATTAAAATTATAAAACCAAGACAAGCCCTTTCAATTATCAACACATTTTCATTTTAAAGTGCTCAGTTGGAGTGAGTTGCTTTTTCTTTTTTTCTTTAAATTCTTTAACCCAATGGTCATAGAGGTTAGAGATTAAGTCACAATAGAGCAATCAAAAACATTTATAAAATTAACAAGACAGTTTCCAGTTCAAAATAAAGCAATCATGATCAGGATTCCAATTCCACCTGTATCTAATACTTACAAATGCACTGCTCAATTCACACATCTAAATTTGTTGAGTGACATTAGCATAGGTTCACTAGTTAAAGATTCAAGTGAGCATTCATATATAACAGAGAGAGGTATATATACACACACAGACACCCGCATGAATGCACACATGCAAATATAACTTTTATTGACTGGAAGTGGAAATGGTGTTTATATATCAAAGTACAATTTGGGTTAAGATGTGTGTTTACCAATGAGAAATACGATCTCAGGGCAGGAGGCAATGTTTTAAATTTGCGTCACTAGTAAACAATGGGGATGGGCGAGATACTTGGTTTTGTTTAACAGTATTTGTTTTGATCAAAAGGTTGAATCAATGTTTAAATATCCCAAAGTATAATTTTGGTGAAGCAAGAAAAACTCGTGATTGAGATAAGGTAAATAATTGAAGAATAGGTTTACATGTCAAGGGATAGTTTTTGGCACTCATGATAATCGCATGCCGGGCCAAGGGCCAATTCATGATCAACCAGATTTATCTATATAAACGCATAGTTATGCTGAAGAAGAGGCAGACGGTCGAGCGAGACAGGAGAGGCCGCGATTGGTCGGCATGTCATCGTTGCTGCGTGCCGTTACATGTGTGGGCACCCACAAGCGACCGTTACGGGTCACGGTGCTACAGGCCAGACAGAAGAGAGAAGACTAACCCGTTCCGAGAAGTCTGTATGAGACTGGACTATTAGTCACAAACCTACACCAGGTGATTCAATACGCATTTATCATACACAAACCCTCTCTTTTTTGGGAATTCGCTGGATGCATTTTGTCTTTTTCTTTTCTCATTTATGTTAAATGTTTTTATTCTCCCCGTAACCTCTGTTCTGATGTTATCTTCTTATATAAAAGACATCAATATTTCCCCCATTGTTGTCTGGCTTCTGCAGATATTATTTCTTGTTTTATTTTGCCACATTCTAAACTTCCTACCGCCAACTCTCACAGCCGTGTCCATATTCCCAGCCGACCGTGAACGTATGGACAACACCCTGCTTACTGGATCTAAAAACTAACACAGCATGGGCATTGAGCAGAACTTGAGCAGTTGACTGGTCGAAATAATCTACAGGTACTCGGGGAGCGTACGGCCAGTCACCCCTAAGTTCGGTTTGGACCAAGTGGACACCTCAACCAAAAGAGAAAGACGCTGGAGATTGAGGGGCTGTGAACGAAGTGGTAGATTTGGTTGCCATTGACCAGGATTGACCTTGAGTTACCACGGAAAATAAGGCCAGGAACAGCTTTGAAGAAAAGCAAGCCTTAAGTTATACTCAGAAAAAAAAAAAAAAAAAAAGAGAGAGAAAAGAAGGAAACACCAGCAAAACAGACTGTTTGTCGCAAGTGAGCGTACGGCCATTGAGGCAGTCAGGAAATTATTCCGGCTGCAGCAACAGGAAGGAGAGAAAAATGAAGAATTGGGAGAAAGAGTCGCGGAGCTAGTAGCATTAGCTTTTCCGGAATTGGTAACTCGGGACAGTGGCCCTATTTAGGCCTTGTTGGCCAATGTATATGTAGACGCACTGAGCAACAGGGACCTGAGGGGCGATGTTCTGAAGGTCACCCTGGCCGCAGCCATAGAAGCGGCTCGGACCAGCGAGCGACTCTGGGATAGGATAAGAGGAGGTGTAGGAAAGAACCACCAGGGAGCCAAGGTAATAATAAAAAAAAAAGGATCAGGAGTGGATCCAGATTTGGGAGCCAAAAGAAGAGGTAGAAGAGGACAGGGAGGCTGAGGCTGACCCCAATAGGAGAGCCTGGGATTTGCGTTGTGGGTTTTTTAAGCCCACAGCAGACCGTTATGGGCTGGTGTGCTGGACTTGCAAGTATAGTGGGCATTGGGCCCACGACTGTCCAACAAATTATGGAGGCGACCCAAGATCTCGGGGGCCGAACTGTACAACTTGTGGTGAGTTCAGACACAAGGCTCGATGGTGTACAGCGAAGGGGGACCGTAAACTGGGGATAAAGCGAGTTAATACGCTGGTGCAGAGAAGGAAAAGGGTCCAGGAAATGCCAACGGGTCCCCCGTGAAAAAGTAAGAGGCAGGGTGGCCCCAGTGCAAGTAAGACCTCTGAGATGCTGGACATGTGGTGTGGTCAGGCAACTTTCGGCCAGTTGTAAGGAGTGAAAATGTTGGCAATGTGGAGGATCGGGTCACCTAAAATGAACCTGTCCTCGCAGGAGAAAGTTAGGCCACGCAAAACAGAACAACCCCAACTCGAATAAAGGGGAGAAACAGGTTACTAGTCCGGGAAAGGAGAGTCATCCGGGCTTTATCCCACCCAAGAGGGCCTCTAGACAGAAATTGGAGCCCCCATAGAAAGATGAACTCCTGTTGCTGGCACCCATGTCTCAGTTGTCGAGCAAACGGAAGAAAGGGAGAAAACATGCAGGAATGAGAAAGGCACAGGTGTACCGTTTGCTGAAGGAAGGACCAGACTTCACCTGTAATGTGTTGCTTGGAGACGAGAAGGTGAGGGCCCTTGTCAATACGGGAGCTTCAGTGTCGCTAGTTAGCTCCAAGCTTTTTAGACAGTTGTTACTGAAGACAAAGCTTAGTCTTGTTGAACTACTAATAAGTCAAGCTGATAGTAGTAGGATGAGGATAGAGAGTATGACGTGGCTACCTTTCCAGTTGGCAAGAATCAGAGGTAAACTTAAGGTTTATGTGGCACCAGACTTGTGTGGTGAGCTAATTCGGGGTGGGGGTGGGGGCGACTGGCATAGACAGAATAAGGCACAGATCAGTTTTGACCCTGCCACCCTAACATTGGACGGAGTAGGGATACCATTGGCAGAAGATAATTATGAACAATTGCCAGTGGTGGCCCAGACGGATATTACACTTACCCCTAGGATTACTGTGTCGGGGAAGGGCAAGATTGTAACAGAAGGAGTGCTGAGCAGTGACCTGTACCAAGTGGTCCCTACTGATAGGTACGATGATAGTGAAAAGGAGATAACCGTATATGATTCATTAGTAAAGGGGTCGAGGACTGTTCCTTTACTGTTAACTAATGCTATCAATAAAACTATTAAAATTAAGCAGGGAGAGGAGCTGGCACAGGCGTGGCCAGAGAGAGAAGTCGAGCAGGTGAGAGTATGGAATGAGAATAGGCCTGGGAATAAGATAGGTAGCAAGGAAATAAGGGAGGAGGATATAAATGCTCCTGAACATCATAGGAGGAAATTGAGTGGGTTGCTGAACAGTAATCGGGAAGTAATAGCCATTACTGACAAGGAACTGGGACAAACGGAGACAGTAGAAATGAAGATAGACACGGGTAATCACCCACCTATTAAGTTAAAGCCATATAGAACCCCAATCCACAAAAGAAAATTAGTAGAGGATGCAGTGAATGAAATGATTGAATCAGGGATAATCGAAAGATCCAAATCTCCCTAGAGTTTTCCCATAGTCATTGTGGAAAAGAAAGATGAAGGGCATAGATTTTTGTCAATTAAATGCATTACGAAACCACTGGCAGTGCCCCTTCCCTTGATTGATGATATTCTAGCCCTTTTAGGAAAGTCAAAATGTTTTTCCACCTTAGATTTAAGGTCGGGATATTGGCAAGTGGCCCTTAGCAGAAAGGATCAGGAAAAGACCACTTTTTCCTGTCACATGTGTCTCTTCAATTTTAGAGTTATGCTGTTTGGTTTAGTAAACGCCCTGGGTGTATTTAGTCAGTTGATGTCCATCGTACTGAATGGCACGAAGGCCTTTGTCATGGCATATCTAGATGACATCATGGTGTTTTCAAGGTCACCAGAGGAACATTTCGAACATCTGCAGAAGGTGTTCAATAGGTTAAAAGAACATGGACTAAAGTTAAAATTATCAAAGTGCCAGTTTATGAAAGAAGAGACGAAATACTTAAGGTTTATCATAAATAAAGAAGGGATAAAGACGGATCTAGACAAGGTAGAGGTTATAAGTGCCATGCCCGCACCAAAGAGCCCAGAAGAGACGAAACGATAGAATAAACAAGGGCAGAGCCGAAGTCTCCTTCCAGATCTGGGACCCAGTGTATTATAAAATACACCTGAGAGAAGGTAAATTGGGCCAGAGATGGAGCCCATATTATAGAATAGTAGAGCAGACGGGTCCAGTTTCCTTTGTGATATGGGACCAATTGACCAGGAAGGTAAAGAGAGGGCATGCGAATGATAGAAAACTAGCAGAAACGGGAGAATTGGAAGGAGCCGAAACAAGAACTAAACAGAAAAGGCTGAGGAGAACTACGTTAGTAGAACCTGAAGAGTTGGAGATGGGGAGTGAAAGCGAAGGGAGTGAGAGATTGAAGTTAGCCCAACTACCCTTCTAAGGCAGAGGGAGGTAAAGCGGACCCCAGCGAGACCTTCTGAGGAGGCAGGAATTAACCCTAATCTTAGGGAAGAAGAGGAACTGAGTAAATGGGAAGAAGAGGATGAAATTCCATTAGCACAATTGCAGAGTAAATTGCGGGCTGAAGAAGCGCCTGGTGTTAATGAGGAATTACCACTGAAATTGCAATTAAGGGGGGGTTGTGCAACCCGAGCCCAAAGAGTAAATGGAATCAGTACAATGGTTGTGCCGAATGAATAACGGTCTGGGACTGACTGGGCAAGTATCCTCGGTGTTGTGGATTGCGTGGAAGGGCCCCCATGCATGCACGGCACTGGTGGTGGTGCAGGTCAGTGCTTGATATGTTGCTCTAAGATATAACTACCCATTCAAAACTAAAACAGAATGATTGAGTAAGACAAATTATTCTCTCCATATCCTTGCAGACATGGATGAGAGGAGGCTCGCTGTACTGATGATGCTGGTTTTGGTAGTTTATACCTGGGAACACAGTGAGAATACTATATTTAAGAAGACAAGTGAAGTAGTTATAGCTAGATCAAAGTGGTTGATAACTTTGGTGATAGACCTGCAGCCATATGAGAAGTTACTAGGTCAGTTGAAGATCGAAGTGGACAAACTAGATACAGCCAGGACACAAGTCACCGGAGACTATTTACAGACTCCGGAATACCATCGTATATTATACCCCTTAGCTCAGGAATCCCTAACACTTGAGAGACAATGGAAGGATATGAGTTACTATTTGAAAGGAATCAAGTTGTTACAGACCAGGCAAGGGAGGGCAGTACTACCTATAATGGGAAAGGCATTGAGCGTGTTGTTTGGTACAGTCTCCGAAGATGAAGTGAAGGTAATTAAGAGGAAATTAAAAGTGGTCAGAGGCAACAAGCTATGGCTCAGTCGGTTAAAGAGAGTGTATCTATACTCAATGTTACTAGGCTGGAATTGGCTAAGAATAGAGGGAGTATCAATTGGTTGATTTCTCACCTACGGGTTTTTAGAAAAGAAGTAATAAATGTAACCACGTCTATAACAACCGAATTACAGCAATTAGAAGGGTTTTTGCAAAGGTATTTTCAGTTGTTAGCTATAATGAGTAAGGTACGTCAAACAAGTCATTCTTTAACGGTGTCGTTGGAGCATGTGATGGCACAATTAGACATGCTGTCGCTGGGACACCTGTCTTCAAGTATAATAACTCCAGAATGATTAAGAGAAGTTTGAAGAGAATGAGGCTTTGTTAGAGCTGGTAGGAACGAATGCTAGTGGATGGATGGGATTGTGGGAACCCATTGTAAGAGAGATTCCTAAGATGTCACTAGGAAAGATGCCGGCATTGTTAAGGCCAATCGATAAGATTGATCTTGGACGGTTGAAGTCGGGGTTAGATAAGATAGGTACGCCGAATTCGAGCTGGAAAGAGAATTTGGTTGCTATAATAACCTGGTTGACTGTTGTGGAAATTACACTAATAATAGTCGTGGCCTTGCTGGTTTGGTGGTGGTTGAGGAGGCATGCGGTGTTGTTGACCGGGCAGAATAAACTGTCACGGAAGTGCATGAGTGAGGGAGGATTCCAGTTAGTGCACTTTACCAAGGTAGGTCCGACCCGAGTGCATTGGGACCTCTAACTGATATTGAAGGAGAGTCCATGATTGTCGTGGAAGGACCTGAACCAAAAAAAGATTTGACAAAGCCTGTTGTGAAGGAGAGACAAAACCGGAGGGACAGATTTACGAAATAAATCAAATTTTTTTTAATTTTTTTGTAGATATAATTGGTTAAGGAGTGCTGCGAAATCCAAGAACTGAAAAAAAGAAAGAACACTTGAACTAGTGGACTATGTGAAAAGGTTCTTCTACTGCACGAGGTCATCACAACAGTGAACTTTAACCGGGAGTTGGATGTATATATGTATCGTAAGGACTATGAAAATGTAAATGGGCATAATGAGCCCTAAGAAAAACTGAGGACACTACCTTTGCATGCTGGCAGAGACGTATAAGTAGACCCCAGTCAGAAGCATGTTGGACTGGGTTTTCTTGCATTTTTGGTGACATGAAAACTCATGTATCATTTACTAGTAAATGACAGATGGGTAAGGGAGGAATGTAACAGAGAGAGGTATACACACACATACACCCGCATGAATGCACACACACAAATATAACTTTTATTGACTGGAAGTGGAAATGGTGTTTATATATCAAAGTACAATTCAGGTTAAGATGTGTGTTTACCAATGAGAAATACGATCTCAGAGCAAGAGGCGATGTTTTAAATCTGGGTCACTAGTAAACAATGGGAATGGGCGAGATACTTGGTTTTGTTTAACAGTATTTGTTTTGATCAAAAGGTTGAATCAATGTTTAGATATCCCAAAGTATAATTTTGGTGAAGCGAGAAGAACTCGTAATTGAGATAAGGTAAATAATTGGAGAATAGGTTTACATGTCAAGGGATAGTTTTTGGCACCCATGATAATCGCATGCCAGGCCAAGGGTCGATTCATGATCAACCAGAGTTATCTATATAAACGCATAGTTATGCTGAAGAAGAGGCAGACAGTCGAGCGAGACGGAAGAAAATAGAAACATATCTAATACTCATAGAAAAATAATTATAAAATTCTATGGTGATTGTTTCTGGATGAACTGGACCATTTACTTAATTTAATACCATCTTCAAATCTCAATGGCTACAATATTATTTGTTTACAAATTTATCAGAGCATCATTCATAAATGCCAAAACAACTTTATTTTTTTAAAATTAAAGTTCAATATAATCATTTTCACAGAAACTGATTTTATAAGGTGATGTAAAGCATCGCATCAGTATTTTACATAGAGCCTAACCATGATTTGACCAAGGCAACTCTCAAACTTCCTTTTCAGGGCTTTATACTCTTCAAAGGAATACCTAACATCTTATTCTTCTAAAATGAAATGTAAAAAGTTTCATCTAGTAGAAAAATCATAATTTGATATATCTGTATAGACAAAGAATGTTAGCCTAGATAAATTAAGTTGAAAAGAGCAATCATTCTTATTCAATGGCAAAGTTAATTAGAAATCTACTAACGTGACAGCAAGCTTAAAAGCATCATAAGAAGCACCAGGTTTCTTGAATTTCTCATCAAAATACCAAGCAGTTTTTGTGTAGAGTTCGGTTAATTGGTCATCATGTTTGTAGCCAAGCAACTCTCCAACATGTCTGAGGATGCTATTCACCTGGAAAAGAAAACAGAATAAAGTGTCATTCAAGAAATAAAACATTTCACAAAGACACATATGAGAAGCAACAAGTGTTAAAATAAACATTATTTGCATATGCTATGAGCCAAACAGACTTTGCTTTCAATGACAAGAACCCAAAGCAAAAGCAGCAAGGAGAAAAAATAAAGCACATGGCAGAAGCTTACAAGTGTAATAAACAACATTATGTAAAAACGAAAATACAAAAGAAATTAAAAACTCAAATGGAGTTATGAAAATTATTTTATGGCTATCACATAAATTGAGTGAGATTTGAAACAGCAAGAGACTGTGTGGTTAAGGTTATGCAGAAAAGAGATTGAAAAAGATCTATGATAAACATAAAAGTATAATAGGTTTTAATGAATTTTATATGTAAACAGGATCCTATACACTTCATTTCAAAAGGTTATTATTTTTCTGTTCATGATATACTTACTGTTTTGGCTTTAGCATACTTCTCTTCACATTTAGCAACTTCTTCAGGAGAAACTCTCCTTTTAGACAAATCAATGTAACCTAGAAACAAAAAAAATCAAAATTATAAAAACCAAAATATTGGGGAGTATTCAAATTATGTCAACATCTTTCAAGTTGAAAGTATCAAGGTAATTTTTACAAATATACAACTCCTATTGAGGATTTTTAAAAGGTAAAAGATGAACACTACTAGGGGGAGAAATGGTCATAATCAACCATTACTATAATAAATTATATCCTCAATATACAAAAATTATAAGGATAATATTAACAAACATCAAACTATTAAAATTAATTAAAAGCATGTTTTTCAAGGTTTAAGTTATTCTAGAAACAATTTGCAGTTTAATAAGTAAGCCTAACTCTAACCATAAAACATAAAAGCTGGATCAGCCTTGTTTTTGCCATAGAGAAGACAGATCATAAAATTGAAACAGATGTGTTGAAGAGATTCTAATTGCAGTGTAACACTTACACATTACGGTAAAAGGGAAGGTTATGGTTTGCCCTGATACCTTAATGCAGGCAGCAGGAATAAGGTAATTTTTGCTCCTGCCAAACATAACAAGTAGTAGTAATCTTAGACTGTGTGAGAGGATGTGGCCATGACTTTATATCAGGGTGTCTTACTTGTTCACTTTAAGTGGTTAGCTCACAGTGGAAGCAGCAGATATTTTGCAAAACTTCATTTTTTTTAACCATGAGTCCAAAATGATATGCATTGAATTAAAGAAGAAATTATCGAAAAACATGACCAAGGTGTGCATGTAGGCAATTTGGCAAAGCAGTATGAGCATAGCACTTCTACGATCTGCACCATACTGAAGCAGAAGAACTTGATAAAGCCAAGGGTGTTAAAATAATTTTTAAACAGCGAACATCTATCCATGAAAATATGGAGAAGCTGCTGGTTGACGGAGAAGCAGCTTGCAGGAGATACCATGATGGAAGATATTATCTACAAGTGAGATAAAGGAAATGTTGGGAATGTGGTAGAAAATTTTAGACTTTATTCAAAAGAAACCCAGAAAAAGTTGCAACTGGACGTGCAATGTTGCTATTTAATGACAAATGCCTAACTCATTTCAGGAACATTCATGAAGAGGAGGATGAAACAGATGCCATTGGACAGGTTTTTATCAAAAACACCTGCAGAAAGTGAGAAAAGCTTGGCGAAAAGGGAAAAAAATCAGCAAATAAAATTCAGCTATTCAGTTCAGCCTTTCTCCTCCACCTCCATCAGCATCTTCAAGTCACCTGATCTCCAAGACAAATGCTGTACATCATACTTAATAAGACCAGTTTATTGCAGTACATCCTATTGTATTGTTTTTTATGCTATATTCATTATTTATAAGTACATTTTTCTTATTTAAAAACATGTAACAAAATATTGCCGTGTTTTTTGCATGTCCAGAACAGATTAATAGCATTTCAATTGGGAAAATTGATTTGACATACAAGTAATTTGAGTTATGAGTTCTGACACAGAACAAATTAAACTCTTAAGTCAAGGCACCACTGTATATTAATTTATGAAATTCACTGACTGAAGGACTAAACTCAAGGCCACAAAATGACTGCAACTCACAATGATAAGCAAATGTCAAAAATCAACCATTTGATATTGGCTTTAAAAAAATATACCTCTTGACATACTTTAGGACAGTGGCATAGTGAATATAAACGTTAGCTAAAAATACTGCAGTCAGATTTTAGGGATGCACTAATTAAGCAGTAATTTAATTATGTTCAAAGACTGTCTCAAAAAGCAAATGAAAAAAACAATTAGAATATCAAACTGATTCTATATCTAAAAAGTCAGGGATTATGCTCAGAGAAAAAAAAACAAAAACAAAAAAAAAAAACAAGATAAAAATAACTCAAATATTGGATAAGGAAAAAAAAAACAAAAACAAAATACCTTTATCTTTGTCAACCCGAATGACAACAACACACTCATTGCGACCAACTCTGATGAGTTTATTGATAGATCGAATACGTCGCCTGGATAATTCACTAAGTAGAATCATGCCTTCAATATCATTGTACTCTAGCAAATGCACATAGGCTCCCATTTCAGCAATGGAACGAACATTAACCATAACAACATCCTCCACTTCCGGATACTTTTGACTGTAATAACGGCACAACAAACCCATTTTTACTGGTCTGCAAATGAGAAAAGAATAATTAATCATGCATAATAAAATAAGAAAGAAATTAATATTTGGATTATTGAACCTAAAATACAAATAAATGCTTAATTTGTGCTTTAAAATAATTAGCATGAGGTTTTTCATTGTGAATGATGTGAAGTTTAGAAAATACTAAAAATTAACAGAATAAGGTTATTAAAGTTATTTTCTTTATTATTTACTAAATAGGAGCAGATAAAAAAATGCATCATCAACTAGAATCATTTTTCTGTTTGTGGTAAAATAAGATTAGAATCAGCAAACAAGTGTCAACTAAAATGTATTTTCCGATTTGTCAAATATATAAAAAGTAGAAAATCCAAATTACACTTTTTCAGGTTGCATACAGAAATATCAAACATATTTGTAATAAATGAGATCTATCAAGAACCTATAAAAGAGAATCAATTTTTAATGCTGCTGAACAGACATCTGAAGAAACAGCAGATGATCTTAGAATGAAAACAATGCACATATTAATAAGAAAAAATTTAGCAAGATAAAGAATAAATACTGAGTGATCTGAGTAGGATTTTATTTTCATTAAAAGTGTATTCACTGTTAGATTTAATTATGTAAGTCAATGTTTCCACAAAATTAACATTGATCAACTCTTTAAATTTATATGATAAATATATGAATTTCAGTTTATAATAAATGTCATTATTAAATGTCATATTGTTTTGGTGGTAGGTTTTATTCTACAAACTAAGTCTAACATTTTTGTTCATAAATGAATACAAAAGATATAGTCAACAAAAACATTTGTTTAACACAATATCCCAGGCACCTATATAAATTACTATTTCATTATTTTACATTTTAATACAGACTCTTTGGTAATTTTTTTTTTTTTACTGTTTCAGCTTTAATGTGACAGCACTTTTTAATGCTTCCTAGAGATCTTTAACTGAATATTGTTTTCATTCTCATATACATTTATTTTGATGTTTTCTTATGGATGGATTCTTATCCAGATAACCATTCCATTAATTTGGTGTCTTTAAAATTGGGGTGGGGGAAAAGTGGGCAATAGTTAGCTTTGTACAATGTGAAGGTGCCTGGTCTTGTACAAATATATTCTTTTAACATCTTGGTTGTAACCTGTACCACTCAAAAAATACCATCCATAAACTTACAGTAATTTTCAACATTTACATTAATTTTGAAGGGCCCAATAATTTTAGTAGCCACAATACAAGCCCCCAAAATTATCTCCACAATTGTTAGACTATTTTAATAAATAATCCAACCTCTTTCCCAGCTGTCAGGTCTATCCAATATAGGTTTATATTCATAACTAAAAAAAATCAGTTAAGAAATCAATTTTCATTTGCCTAACTTATACACATCTATTTCTCAGATGTTTACTTCATGATAGTTTGTTAGCTTTAATGTCTTTGTTTACATATTCTGCAGCTTTTCAGTTTGCATCAAGAGCTTCAAATATTTTCTATTCAATCCACTTTTATAGATTAGTATTTAGAACATTTCTGAACAAATACCTTGACAGCTGCCTTTAATATGGAAGAGTTGCCTCTTCTCAAATTGGTGCACCTCACTACAGAATGACCATAGTGCAGATGGAGGTTCATTATTTAATGGTGGTCTACAAAAGTGCACTGAAAAGATCATAGGCCGGCTATGAAGGAGTGATAGTAGAATTGTGAAATCTTGCATGCATTAATTTCAATTCTTTTCATTAATAACTGCAGTTTCATTCCAGGTAAACTAAAATTTGACTGTTCAAAGAAGACTGTTCATCTTGTTGGTCAAAAAGTCATCAACAGCAGATATGATGCTGTCATCACTGCTATATTGGTTTCCAGTGAAGTGTTTTTACAGATGATAGCAAAATCAGGAAAATAGGGAAAGTGATCAACCAGTTCAAAGCCAAAATCGCACACAGCAGACATTCAAACCAAAGACTTGTGTGCTGGAACACTGTCTTGACAAAACAAGACCCCTATCGCCAGTTTTCCTGGGCGCTTGGTTTTAATAGCCTTTCATAACTGCCTCAGCAAGTTGGCATAGTACTCTCCATTGGTGGTGTGGCCCTTTTGAAGATAGTCAATAAACACAATGCCTTTTGCATCCTCAAAAATTGAGGACATCACCTTCCCTGCAGATGAAACAACCTTCTTTGAAACAGGTGCTTCCACTGCATGGGTTGTCTTTGGCTCAAAGTGATGAAGACAACACTCCTCCTGAGTTTTTTTCCCATGGTGTGATCAGTCTGGTACACTTTTGATCAGGTTAGTCAGAAGATGTGGCACCTACTAAGCAGAAACCTTCCTCACGCAAAGTTAATTATGCAGAATATTCTCAATTCTCTCAAGGAATATGCTAACAACATCAGTTATTTGATTTATAGTCAATCGCCTGTCATCCGCCACCATATGGTGAACATGATCAATGTTTTTTTTCAGTGATAGCAGTTGCAGGGCATCCAGACCTTGGGTCAGCTTAAAAGCTCTCCCAAATTCAGCTGTCCACTATGTATTGTTGATATAGCTGGAGTGTCATCAGCTAATGTAGCAGCCATGTCAACATTAATGTCCTTGGCGTCTAAACCCTTTTTCTTCAGGTACTTGCTAACACCATGATGCCAAATTTTGTCCATTTGTCACTATTAATTACTTTTGAATTCTTATTTGGACAGTTAGATGTCAGAGAGAATTCACAGTTCTAGCATTACTCCTTCATAGTCAGCTCACTCTCATAGTTCCTTCATAGAAGCACAACATACCAACAGGACAGGTTTCAATAAACTGAGTCACCTCTGTGGTACCCTAGTAAGTCTGTCAGCTCAATTTTAGTTGGATTTGACCAGTTTCACAACCATGATAAAGTCATATTCTAACCAGTGCACAACCATCATCTCAGTTGCAGCTTTTGTATTCTGTGGTGCCTTTCTAGTTAGATATCTAAGATCCAGTGGTGAACACAAAATCAGTAATCAAGAGCAATACCATTGCTTGCCTATGGCAGACTAGGTTAATGCATCAAGCTCAACTAAATTGATATGCTGACCATCTCCAGCTAGATGCAACAAGCATGCATCCTCAATGGTATCTCCATTTACTTCCACACAAAACTGCCCATTAGCATTCTCTTGACACACTGTTCACTGTCTCTGCTATCATGCACTTTATTGTTCATTTCATTGGCCACTGTGTTTGATTGTCATTTGATAAATGACATTATCACCCTGAGCCAGTTATACATGGAGAATGTACCCTACAAGCCTCCCAAGTTCAACAAGTGATGGTATCTGAAATTTCTAGGACCTCATCTCTGTCAAAATTTACTGTGCTCGCCATATACATGTAAGCCTAGCACTTTGACAATTTTCAGGTTTTCTGGGTCCTTACAGGCCAATACAAAGTAAGCTAAATACCAATTTACACACACTGCAGACACTATGCTTTCATTGTTGAAAGCATTAATGTAAGCTGATATTGCTCATTGAATAGATTCATCTTCTAACTATACATCATCTTTGATATAAGAAATTATGTGGATGAAGGAATTGTTTGACATAACCAATTGTGCAAATCCAAGTTTTGAACTATGCTGGTAAAAGTAGAGTAAAATGAGTAATTTCTTTTTTTTACTTATGTTAAAATATTTCAACTTTTAAGAGAATTCTGGGATAAAAACTTCAATTTCTATCTGATCAGCTAATACTCAGATATATATCTCAACTCAAATTTGAATGGATAAAATGTTAAACCCAGACATATCTTTCATCTTGTATTTTAGGCAATAGAATTATGAAAACCAGGATAGTTTTCCAATAAAAAACAACAATATTCAGCTCTATGACTGAATACAAATGAAAGCAAATGACACTGTGAATCAAGATAATAAACTTAAATAGAAATGTTAATATCTGTTAAACTAAACAGTAAAAGAATGATTTTTACAAAATAAAAGCAACCTGGGCATACAATAAAAAACAATAGCTAACTTAGTTTCTATTTATCCCAATCATATGTCACAAAGCTAATCTATTTAAGCCACTTAGAGTAATAAAGAAAAAATAGTTTACAACTAAATTTTTCAATGTCACTGAAACCAATGAAATGGAACCTGACTTGATTGAACGTCTCAACAAATTCAAAACATTTATCATTGCAAAAAAAAGAATTTTATCACAAATATCATTTCTTTTTCTTAGTGATTTAGTAAGTGACCAAAATATATACTATCACCATTGGATAGAACAATTTTCACCAGACCAAGGCTCCAGCTTACAAAGATAAAAATGACTGGTACAATCTATAACTCTATAAAGGAAGATTTCACATCCATTTAAGGTTATATACTTACCCCTCTTCATGCTATGGACCAATCCCCAAATCGACAAATTAATTTGAAAAATTAAGTTATAGCTTAACTGACTTTTCCAGTTAACAGGCTCAACATTTCAGTAAAATAATGGCTTCGACAAATGACAACTAATTACTATTTAAAGGAAGTATAGCAGCCTATAATATTGGTTTGTTTTTTTGTTAGTTAAATCTGATTTGACTGAGTCACCAAACTGAGAAAACAGATTTTAAACAAGAATATATTCCATATGTTGACTTTTGTGTTATGTCTGCACAACCGAGAAAAATTCTATCTACACAAACCTCTTCTTGCCTAACTCAGTTGTTTATAAAAGTTGTAGCATTATAATTTATGAATAAATAACTAAGATTGGAGGTGTGTAACATGAAAATACAAGGTGATGCTGAAAGTCCTTGGCCTAATAAAGAAAAGATTTTTAAAAATTCTTATGTTGTCAAATTTTGGAAAATGGTTCAGGTCAAGAACTTTTCAACATCCTCATTTCATAAAAGTCTTTTGTGCTTTCTCCTGGAGAAATTTCATTGTGAATGATTAATGAAAATTTCAATGTGAAAATATCTGCACATGCCAAGCAATGGATGGATGATTGTATAAACAAAAATTGGTATGTTTACACATACAAAAAATTCAAAATTCTTTTAAAAATATTAGTTTTAATGATTTGTACTAAGCTTTTCCACTTATTAGTAAATATAGTTTTACTTAATAATACCATCTAAAAAGGATAAAGTTAAAGATTTTTTATTCTAATTAAAGTGTTTAAAAAATGAAAACAATTCTTGTAAAAATTCATTATACATCGAAAAAACTTTTTTTTCTTAAGACAATAGTATCCTTATTTTATTTATAAAACCAATTAAAAGCTTTTCTAATTAAATAATGTCAGTTTTATTGCATTTTTTATTTTACAATTCAGAGCAGATTTCCAATAAATGGTGTTTGACAAAAACAAAGATTCAAATTCTCCAAGGAGTATTGCTTTTATGAAGAGGGTGGAATTTTAATTTCAAGAAATTTCATAAATATAAAAAAAAAATTCAACAATACTTTCAATCATTTATGAATAAATCCAGAAAAAAAAAAAAAACACACACACACACACACAATTTATTTAACCAAAGTTTCGAACGTGCTACAAAGGATTAAAAAATGTAATTGATCAAAAAATACTTTGGTCTTTCCTCTTCTTAATTTAATAATAAAAATTTTAAGTAATTTTTGATGATAAAACTTATCATGTTTGAGCTCTTTTTCATCATGGTATGCTCTTTTTTAGTGAATTTTTAGAGAGCTACCTATTTTTAATTTTAAGGGAATCGTTTCACTCCCTCACTAGTCAACGGAATTTTTTTTTTTTTTTAGTCTACAAACTCCAGTTTAGAGCACAATTTTACCATCAAATCGGTTTTTGTTTACATTTCTTTCCAATTTTTTCGGGAATCATTGGGTTTTTTGTAATGGCCAGTAGAGCTTTCCAAGAGTTTATTTTTCTAGGTTCGTTTTCTCGTAAGACGCACAAAATTTATGGTCACTGCAGTCCTACTTTTAAACCTAAACTGACCCGAAATTTTCACATTGTAAAAATATTGTTTAAAAATGAATTTCTAACCATGGTGTTCGTATTCGATTAAAAAAAAAAAAAGTTTCAAAATAAATGTTGACCTAAGTGAACTTTACTAAAAGTTCATAATAAACTCACAAAATACGTACATTTTTTTTAATTTTGCGAAATAAGTAAAAATAAAAAATGAAAGTAGTTTAGTACTCCACCGTGTCCTACCCATTAAAAATAAAAAGGAAAAAAGTACAATTCACAAATTAAGGAAAAAAAAGTCTATTTCACTCCTAAACAAGATATTTTGACTAAATTTTATTTTTATTTATTCATTCATTTATAATTAAAAAAAAAAAAAAAAGCATAATTAAAAGATGGATAAAAAAATGTAAAGAACTGAATAGTCGATAAAAGTTAATGAAGAGCTAGACAATTATTTAAAAGAAATAATTTAAGCATTTTCAAAGGTTTCAGAATATTTCCTTTTTTTTCCTCGATAGACAAAATTTGTCGTCTATCTTTTTTATCCAATAATATACTCATGATCGTCGAAAAAAGCCGATCTCCGAAAAATTAATTTTCTGATGTAAATACTGACAGCAAAATGTTTTTGTACCATCTCAATTAAAACTAAAAGTCGTAATTAATAATATTCAATTTCAATGTTAAAATAAATCAAACCCTTCATTGATTATAAATGTAAATTCCTAAGATTAAGTGAAAGTGTTTAAGAAATTCGTTACCAGCTGGAAAATTTTCCCATGGTTCTGAACTACTAGAAAATTATAGAAAAACGAGTAAAACAATTAAAACTAAATGAAATATCGAACTGCCAAATATTTTTGACAAAACTAAGAAGGAAAATGTTTCCAGATCAGATCAGGAAAAAAAAAAAAAAAAAAAAAAAAGATCGTGATTTAAAAAAAATAATGTACAAAGAATTGATCGACTTCAGTTCAAACAGGTTTTTAAAATGATACCGTTTTTTTAATGCTCAAAGACCTAATAATACATATAAAATGTGACAAATTAAGTATCTAGAAGAGATTTTTTTAGCAGAGAGTTATTTTTTAGATGATGAAGAAACTGTTTCTTATGAATCCACATGATGTCCCTGCCGGGTAAAAAAAAAAAAAAAAATGATTTCCTATGATGATGATAATTTACTAATAAAAAAAAATCAAGTTAGATTTATCCTAAGATTACGACATACCGAAATTAAGTAATATTATTGCCTTTTACAGCTTATTAAGATGTTATTATCGTTTATACGTTCTCAAATAATGTCGCCATGTGTTCCGGTCATATTCCCCGACACCAACCACGTTGTCGTAATATTATATCCGACGATTTTAAGCACAAAAATGCCAATATAAAAACAAAAAGAAAAATGAATTTGCTTACCTATTACAAATCTGCACTAAAACTGAATTAACTAGAAGATAACGTTCGTCATTAAATTAGAACAAGACAAAATATTGAGAAATACAGGCTATAACTCTTATGTGTATTCGGCCATGTTCTTTCTGCTGCTTATTGGCGCCACCGTTTCATCATCAGATTCCACGAGGAGATAACTCATTTGAGAATATTGACCCAACAGGTTGAGTGAGCTTTCACAAAAAGTTAACTCATTGAAAGTTTAAAACCCAGTATAAAATAAATCAAGCATGTTTAATCTCAAAAAACACTTTTAGTCCATACAAAAATTAAAACTCAGAGCCACTTAAATTTCGCAACAACATATTTTTTGCTTTCTTTGTCACAATTTTTAACCTCAACCCTTTCATGTGGGAAAGCCAGGACAAATTTCCTACATTCCATCGGGCCATTTGTACTTGGGGACATCAGTGAGTGAATTTTGGGAAGTTATAAATCTATTGTTTCAGTTTATCATTTTTTTACTAGAACTCATCTTACAATTTTTTGTTGTTTTTCTCTAGCTAATTTTCTATATTACTGGTTCGCATATTGTATTCATGTCTATGCTTGGTTGGCTTAGGAGATTTTTGTGGCCTAACATCATAATGTGTTCTGTCTATTATTTCAACTTCAACACACAAAGGGCATTGATCTCCCTTTTCCCTCCATATATGGTCAGCCATGTTTGATTCTTCTATTTCCCCTCACTTTACAGTGAGTGGTCTTGCAGGCTTATCATAAGCCTGTTTCTCCTTTATATTTCTTGCCACCGCTGCATGAGATGGTGTACACACAATCCTTAATCATGTTCCCCTCTATGGGTGGTCTTACTCAGAAGAGATATTTGCATGTTGAACCACTCCTGAAGATTGTTCTGATGTTATATGGACCACAGATACTTTGTATCTTTTCCAATAATCCCTTCACATAGGGTAGGCAGACTGAAGTAGTTTTTTGAGTGTTGTTATCATCTTGTACCTTTCTATCCCAGTTTGTGGGGTCTACTGTCATGTACCCATTGTAGTTGTTACATTGTAGGGTACTTCTTATACTTTCCATTTTTTGTTCATATGTCTCTGGGTTGCCACACAACTTTTGCTTAATGTTGTAGGCAGCAGACAATCCCTTTCTTTACACTGTATCGGTGATAGGAGTCGAAGTTGAGGTATTGTCTGGTGAATGTTGGCTTGCAATATACAAATGTCTTGAACATATGCTCTGTTCAAGATATTAGTACATCCAGGAATGTTAGTTTATTGTTGTTTTTTCTCTCTATTGTGTGCTGTATCAATGGTCTTATTGAGTTCACATGGTCCAGCAGTAGCTGGATCTCTTCCTGATTAGGCCAAAATGTGAAGGTGTCATCTACATATCTCAGCCATAGAGTTGGCTTTAGTGATATTGATTCTAATGTTATTTTCTCAAAGTATTCCATGTGTATGTTAGCAATTGCCAGTGATAATGGCAAGCCCATTGTCAAGCCTTCATCCTGTCGATATATGTCTGATCCAAGGCATACTATACTCCAGGTTTACTCATGGCACAAGTGAGAGCCAGAACTGGAGGCCTATTGAAAAATGTTTGATTTTCAGAAAGTTTGGAAGAAAATTAAGTTAATGATTTTTGAAAATACTTAGAATAACATTTTGTCCCATACCTGAGGATAATAGGATGTGTTGAAAGTTACATAAATGAAAATACGTACTTTTGTTGTAGACATTGATCAGTATTAAACAAAACAGGGGCTGTTAAGATTTCTGCTAAAAGATATGATCCACATAATCTTGAAGCAGAAACATTCACACTATTTACAGTTCTTACTGAACCAGTTATTCAATCTACCCAATCTATTCAATCTATTTTTGAATAAAGAGTCCAGTTCAAATTTCCATTAAAGTTACTGAGTTCAACAAGCAGTACCTGAAGAAGACTGGATATTGTACTATATTTGCAAAAATATGAGTATGCTTTCTCTCCATGTTGAGAAAATGAAACTTAGACATCAGCATAAAAATGTTACTTAACGATTTATAACACACCTTTTCCTTTATTGTACAGAAAAAGATGAAACAAAAAATAACCATTTACCAATGGTTATTATTTTGTTGGTCAGAAGGAACCTTTAGTTTTCTACAGTCAATTGAATTGGTGTATTTTCCATACTTTTCATAATAAAAATGAGTTTCATATTCACTGGGATGATTATCATTTCTTGTAATATGTCCAGCTATGAACACAAGAGCCATTTTTATTTCCTCAGAAAGAGATGGTTCTAAATTTTCCAGACTCTCTAATATTTCTGAACCTTCCTCAGAAAGTTTATAATCACAAGATGTACATTGGTGACTTGGCTTAACATCAAAATCATCAATATTTACATTTTGATTTAAAAGTAAAGATGTCTGCTTAATATTCAGCTTTTCAATACACTGTTGGACATTTATAATATAGGTGCTACCTGATCCTTGATAAAGTTTACTAAATTCTTTTTCTAATGGATCAGTTGTAAATTGCCCAAGTAGTACATATTTATGGCTTGTAGCTAAAAGATGTCAACATAGACTAACAATTCCATTGCAAGTATAATGTCTGGTAGTTTCAGTGTGTTTGGATAATTGTTTTATACGATTACTTTGACTGCTAGCAATATTAAGAGCTGTTTAACCAAACTCAATGATAAAATCAAGTCAGCTGTCATTCAGAGATCTGATTTCAAATTGTAGAGGGTCATTGCATAATTTATCAATTTGAAGGGTCTTAACATTTAAAATTTCCACCATGTTACAACCTTGCTTATGAAGATAGCAGTATCATTCTTATCCACGCTTATTCCAGACTGAGTGAGAAGAGCATTATATGTTTTTTTCTGAAAACACTCTGAGGCAAGTAGAAACCTATTGTCTATGGGCTTTGGAGCAATGGAAATTACATTTAAATCTGAAAGTTTAACTAGTCTTTCAGATTCAAAATGATATAACTGTTTAAGACATGCCCATTTTGCAACTTGTTTTACTCTATTATCATCAAAGATTATTTCTCCTATCTTTTCTGTGAGTCACAAACTGAGAATATTTTTCAACAGATGAACATAATGAAAAAGCAAATGTTTATCTTCAGTTAACCAAGGCTTTTCAGGGAGTGTGGGATATAATTTAAAAAATGTTTGATTTACTTGGTTGCCATCATATATAATATCCTTTACATTGACTGGTACAGAGGTGATGGCCTAAACTATTAACTCAATTTGTTCAAATAAAAAAGTTGATGTTAATTTTGAATTTGGAATCAAACTTGTAAGAAATTTTGAAACCTCCATTAAAACATATCAACATTATACTAAGTACTGTTTTAGTAAGTAGAGATGGATTGTCAACTGACTTACCAAATAGTTGTTTGCCATGATATAGTAACATTTTCATTGGCATTAAAAGTATTAAATATAGATAGCAAAAAAAAATTTTCATTAAGTTTTGGAACTTTTGATGTCAGTCTTCTTAATGTTGCTAATGATGGTAATTGAAAATTCTGTCTTAATCTATTATACAATGATTGTGATGTTGTATAGTACTCAAAAGCATGTATGACAGTATATGAGCTGTATTTCATTCCAACCATTTTAGGGGCCATTACTAAAAAGTGATGACTCAAGATATCCTTTTTGTGGTCAAAAGCCATAGAATTTAAATATCAGATAATTTCTTCCTATGTTGACCAAGTATCAATTGTATTTATATGGTTTTTGGGACAGGCTACTAATATAATGCTCCATAATGAAAGGTTTCAAACCATGAATTTTTATAAATTCTCAACGTAAAAAGAGGGATACCATCAATAACTTTTGATGACTGAACAGTTAAAATATTTTTGCCCCAAAATGCTAAAACAGGACATACAAAGTCTTTTTTGTTGTTGATTAGACTTTCTTTCAGTCTTGTATAAATAATCTTATCTAATTCTAAAAAAGCATTAATTTCATCATCAATTTGATTTTGAGCAGTACTGGAGATTTTTTTTATATCCCTTTGCACAGCAGAGGGTGTTGGTATTTGACTCTTTGGCACTCATGGCCATACAGTTGGTGAATTTTTGGGGTGCATTTTTCCATGAACTTCTATGGTATCAAAATTTGAAGGCCTTGTACCACATCTTGTCTTGTGAGGAGGTTTGGTAAATACCAGCCATTTGGAGTAAGCCAGTTTGCTTTCTGGTTTGAAACTGACAAGACCACTGTCTTCAGGTAGAGGATGACTCAGTCGAGACTCTGTCTATGGATAGAGACTCGGCTGAAAAAAACAGACAAGCAAAGTACCTGTTCCCTGCAATTGTGGTGTATGGGTAAATTTGGCTCAAGTGTTCATGCTCGGGTTCACCACATTAAGCCTGACCTTGTGTCACATCCCATCTCAGTGGGGAGGCATGGGTAAATACCTAGAACTTAAGTCAGTAGATGCGGGAAGAAGAGTTTTTCCCGCAAAGAGATAAGGCAGGTCATCAACATCAAAGAAGGCATTTGACATCAAGAAGAGAACATCAAAGAAGGAACCAGTTACAAGCCAGCCGCTGAGAAACCAAAAGTTCAAGGGAAAATTCTCCTGTGGTTGGACAGCCAAGAACAGAAATAGAATTATTTTCCAAGCACAAACTGTGTGAAGTTAAAACTAAGAGAGACTTTTAAAAAAATTACTGTATCCCAGAAATGCTTGTGGGACAAGTGAAAGTAGATCTTTTCATTTTTTTTCTCAAAGGCTGTTGCACCTTTGTTTTTTTAACTGACTTCTTGTATTGTCTTTCTCTTTTAGTTATTTTCAAATCCTTATCTTTCCACAAGCTATAATTTTTTCCATTTTTTGCTGCCCAACTGAACCTACTATACTGCGCAGTCAACAAAGCGCATACATAAAATAAAAATATAAATGCTGACATTTTACAAATTGCACCCTGTATGTATATATATATATATATATATATATATATATATATATATATATATATATATATATATATATATCGGTCATTATGGGTCATTCCATCGCAAATCAACAACATCCACAGATGACCCTCTTAGAAAATTCACAGATGTTCCTTGATCAAATTTATTGATAAATCCTAAATATTATGTAACCCACTGGTGTTGACATGTCTAGCAACATACCTATCACTTATCAACTCACACACCAATCTCCTTCCAGTTCTGAACTCTGCCTCTTGTACTCTTTTTCTTCTCAGCCACTAACTCCACTTTGTTGAGTAATACCAACCTTACATGTCATCCAGCTTTCTTTTCCTCCTCCTCAATTGTAGCTGGTGTGTCATCTTGATAGGGTTAATTTGATTTTCTTAAAATTCTCAATATTGGGATTGATAGTGAAACCTAGTGCAAACCACTTATATATGTTGTGTAACACAGACAAAATTGCATAATTCCTGTCTGTGGCTGTGGTAAACTTTTGTCTTTTATGTCCCAGGACAGCCCTGATCAAACTGGAATAAGAACTCCTTCAATAAAATGCACAACACTGTTGATAACTCTAACAACAGGTTTATTGAATATAAAGAAAAACTGGCTGAATAAATGTCTCTATTAACTACTACAAATCAGAACTCTACTACAGGAATGGTGATTTCGAGACTTCTAGTCGCTACCATTAAAGTAATAGCCAACCAGTCATTCCTTTCTCAATTCTTCTGTCTGTGTGTTCACTCAGGTCACCAAAATATGGGTGTGTTTCTCATGTCTGACATCTGCTACCTACTTGGGAAAATGACCACTAAGCAAAATGTGTGCTGGCTTTATATAGAGAAATCCTTTCCACTAACAATGATTAATGACTTCACTTTACCTAGCCAGGCCCCAGAAAATGACAATTCCCAACTTCATTATCTCCATACTCCTGTAAATTTACCAGCTGGCTTTTCTTATCAGCAAAGAATGCTTTACCAGAAATCAAAAAAATTGCAAGTAATTGCCACAGAAAAAGGGACAGCTTAATCTTAGGCAATCTTGCTAATTGGTTATATGTTATTTACTTTTTATATTTAAAATCTTCCTAGATATCTTTCTGTAAAGATAATTGGATTCTTGGGTGATCAACTTAAACAAATTCCCAAATCTTGGAACTTAGCACTAAATACATGTTTCTTTGTCTAAAATAATTTAGATCATTTTCTGTGGCCAAACACATTCTCTACAGATAACATAGGGTAAACAAATGTCTGAATTATAGTTTCTCAAGACCCATGAAATTCAGACAACACATTGCTTTTTCTTATCAGTGGGAAGTGGATAGGGTTGGAAATTTTTGCTCAACTTTACTGAATTTTGTCTAGTTAAATCTGGGTTTGATTCTCCTTGGAACTGTTTTTAATTTCATTTTATTATTCTAAAACATAAATTTTATTTTTAATTTTCTTCTCAACCATTCAACCTACTCTCCTGAGAATTTGAATAATTATTATTCAATTAGTAGTTCTTCCAAATCAACATCCTGTAATTTCATACAATTAGATTTCTATCTTCAATAGTTTTAAAAGCAGAACTTGAAATTTCAATGCATTTTTTCACATTTTGCTAAATAAGTCTTTCAAATCTGATATTCATAGCTCCAAGAATGTTGCATGTAAATTTGAATCTTGGTGACAATAGTTAATATTTACTTTAGATTACAAAAATATAAACAGCCTAGGAGTTTTTTTTATGTACTTTTATGAGCCTGAAAACAGCCAAAATATCAAAATGTAAAAAGACACTATCCGTTTTGAGATCTTCTCCATTACAAAGTACATCAGATACAGTATCCAAATTAGTTTTCCTGTCATTTATGATCTAATATATTATTTCTCTGTGGTAACAATATTCATTCCTGCTTTCAGAATGTTAGCATTACAGTTTTAAAATCTATCAGATTTTTAACATCTTTAAAATTGCTTATTTTCATGACATCAGTTAGGCAGTTTAAAAAATTTTTATATTTTTACTACATATTCTTAAATGCCTGAAGATCATCTGATAGAAGTTTTGTTTTATGCTGTATATAATACTGTCCTTCACAGTTGATAACTGAACTTTTGTTCTTTTTAATTCAGTGTTAATTTGTTGTTAATAAATTCTTTCATTGATGCAGTGACAGAAAGCATTGTTTATTTTGTCTTCCAATTATAACTGTTCTAAATATTTAAAGAACATTTGTGGAGGTATATGCTGCTTCAATCTTCAAAGTTGCATGAGTTTTCTGTTGTGAGTGTGACAGTGCAGATGAGTATAAAATGACCTTGTTTGAATGTGTCATTTAGAATAGCAGAATAGAATAACTCACACTAGCAGAAAACGAATGACAATGGAATTGAGACATTGTTAAAGTGAAATAGAGAGTTTATTTATGCTTTCAACTCAGGCAATATGGAAAAATAATTAGAGGATTCTACTTTATATATAGGAGTTTGAATTTTAGAGAAGACTATGTGAGGAAAATATACATGTGTATAATAATTTATTGCATCACAGGAGTAGAGATTTTCATTGTGTAGTGGTTTTAGTTGTTGACATCAAAATCCTGGTGCCACTATAGCTATTTTCAGTCATCTGTGCCAGGCTTAATTGGGTAGATAGGTAGCTGAGTGCCTGGCCAAAATGGACAAGGGAAATGGAAATGACCATTGTAGTTCAGATGAGCCTTCTGCTCTGGAGTTGAATTGCTGGTGACTTATAAAATGTTGGAGTAGCTCAAAAGCAAATGGTTGGTTGAAGCTGAAGGGATCTTGTGAGTTATCCCGATATAGCTTTGCCAGATTTGCCAAGAAATCATTAGTTAGTGCCATGAAGCACCTATAAAAACAGGACACTTCCCATCTTCATCCTTTTCTCACTCTTTTCTACTCAGCGTGCAGTAGTGATATCATCAATGAGACCTTGTTCCCATGCTTGGGGATATTTTCCCTCCTCAGTGAACTTTATTAACGTACACATGTGTCTCACCCACTTAATTCCTAACTTGTAAATTCTTACTTATTTTGCATGGATACTTATGTATTTTCTCATTTTTGCTCACATATATAAAAACCAAAATATAAAATATCGCTTTGTTGAAATTCATTACTTTTCCTTACATTCATCATTTACACATGTAAATATTGTTGCCATAGATTTTAATATAACTAGGAATAGTGCTTGCAACATTTGATATTCGCAATGTGATTTTAATATGCATCTACTGCAATAATAATCTTTTATGCTTTATCAGAAAATATTTTCATAACTTAATTTTTCTTGTTTGTTTCAGAAGTGGTCAGTCTAAAATTAAGCCAATTTGTGTCATTTGAATGGTGTCTGTTGCAGTGGACACTTCTATCATTGTTAAAGAGTTGGCTTTCTATCAGGCTACAACACTTCAGAGCTCTTTAAAATTTGTTAAAATTGGTTTACCATAAAAGAAACCTAGTGGCTTATAAACTAATATATAAATATTAATATATAAAAAGCAAAGGAATAAAACATAAAACACAAAAATATAATGTAGACAATAATTTTCGGGGGCAAATATAGATTAGAAAAATGCAACAGATTACATAGCACTCAATTCGATTAACTATGTTACTTAGAATGATTACTTCGTTACTCATGTAAATGTAAAAACAGTCTTAGTTGGCAATAATATGGATAGCCATAAAAAGGCATTATTTATTATTTTTGACTAATTTGTTTAAATAATACACAATTATTTTGTGTCATGTGGCAATAATTGTAAGTAAAATGATGCGCTAAAATAATTAACCAAGTAATGGTTTTAACTTCTCTGAATATCACTGCCTTAGAAAAACTAAAAGATAGTTTTGAACAGAACTTAGTGATATTGAATTTTGTATCAGAAATTGAGTCTTGAATTATTATTTACCTGAATTTATAATACACAAAAGTTTTAGATGCTAAAATAATGTAGATTTATTTGAGCAATTTGTCTATAATATAAACTTAGCTTCCAACATCTCTTTTGAAGTATTAATCTTTTGAACCAGTATGAAAACTCAGTGATAAAAGTTTATATTATATTTAGAGTGATAAAAGTTTAATATTATATTTAGTTCATAATTCTTTTATGTGCCACATCCCTTCAAGATGTGAGTGATCATGGCTCTCCATAGTGTCAAAATTCTTTGAACTTTGGGATAGTATCTTATATAAGAACTATGGGAACTGAATGTAAAACATTTAATAGCATACCTTATAAAATATTGTAAAGCCATCAATATATCAACAACTTTTACAGTTTATAAATAGCTTTAAAAACTTCATCATAGTCATTTTAAAACATTGGCAACTAAAACTGAAACTATTATATTTTAATACTTCAAGTAAATTCAGTAATAAAATTAGAAATTAATCAAGATATAAAAATTCTTTAAATAAAAACAATTTAGTCATAATAAGTTTATTATCTAAAGAAAATTAGTTAGAAACAAATTCCACAATGGAATATCTTAGAATTATTTTCAGAAATGATTTTAATATTAATTTCTGGCAAATGTTTCAAGTTTACTTTATGATTATTAAGAAATAATAAAACCTATTTTTAAAAAGATACATTTTTCTGCAAGCACTCATTTCCATTTATAAATGCTTTAAGTTATAATTGATAACTTAAGGATTAATCAAAATTATCTAAATTAAGAAAATACAGGCCAAAATAATCCTACAATATGCTTACCAAATTTTAGCCCAAACTATCGTATATACTTGTGTATAGTGCAACCAGTCACCAAAAATACATGATTTTTAATCTCTTCCAAAAGATTATCTGTCTATAGTGCAACTCCTTATTTTTGGGGGCAGAAAAAATGAAGATAAAAATTCGCACTATACTTGATTATATGTTCTATCCTGTCGGCACTCCCACATTTTTTCAAAACAACTGGAAGAAAAAGCTTAACCAACAATATTGTAAGATTGGGACTATGATGAAATGGTAGTATCTGTTCTGCAGAAATGACCAGCTAGGACAAGTTTTGTGCCCAATCCCATGATAGCGGGAGCTGGGTAAACTTTGACCAATCACCTGTGTATGTGCACTTGGGTTCCCCACATTAATTAACTTACCTTGTATCACATCCTGTCTTGGTTGGGAAATATGGGTAAATAGTGGTGTTCTGTGACCCAGAGATAATGATCAAAAGGTAGTATCTGTTTCATGGACATGACCAGCTAAGACAAGCTTTGTGCACAATTCCACATAAGCAGGGGTTTGGTAAGTTTTGACCAATGACCCAAGCTCCATACACTTGGGTTCTCCACATTAAATAACTGACCTTGTGTCACATCCTCTTTTGGTGTGGAGACATGGGTAAATAGCAGTGTTCCACAGCCTAGAGACTATGATCAAAGTGTAGTATCTGTTCTACGGACATGACCAGCTAAGACAAGCATTTTGCCCGATCATGCATAAACGTGGTTTGGGTAAACTTTGACAACTGACCCAAGCATGTACACTCAGGTTCCCTATGCTAAAGAACTAACCTTGTGCCACATGCCATCTCAGCAGGAGACCTGGGTAAATAGCAGTGGTCCATAGACCACTTGACTAGGATCAAAGTGTAATATATGTTCTAGAAGCAGACGACTGCATGCCTGCAGCTCCCGGCCCATCAACAGTACATCCAACTAGCCAGCCATCATCATCTCCAGCTTGGCATCAAACATTATTCCAGTAGCCCTCCAGCTCCAGCCATTTGGCACTCCAGCCATCCTTACTAAAGATATGCAATAAATTGTCCTCTTTAGGGCAACACTCTCTTGCAACCACAAAAACTGTTTTTTTTCCGAACAGCCCTCTCTAGCAACCACGAAAGTGTCATTCTCAGGACAATGCTATTTCTCACCTTCTACACAAGCTTTCTCAGTTCGCACTAACATTATTTTAGTTTATGTATTTTTCTTTAACAAAAATAAATTTGGCAATATTTATTTTTACTCAAGTCTTCGTTTTGTTGTTGTCTTCAGTCATTTTGATATCGGTTTATGAGCCAATATACCACCCACAACACATATACAAGATAACCTATGGTATATCTGTTGTAGAAAAGATTAAAAAACACCAACAGTTATTTTCCTAGTGGTAAGTCTCATATCTATCACTGCAAATTTTGCTATTCTTTTACCACTGAACTTGGTTTGTTATTCTTTCACCATTGATTTTGTTTTTCTTTCTCCTTCAAACTAAACTGAGACAAATTCACCTGACTCAGCATTTTCTTTTTATATTGAAGGATGCTCTGAATATTGAAATGTATGTCTCAGATAAAAGCAGTATTTCCTTCTTGTTTTTTTTTATTGTACTTACTAAACTATACACAGCCTACTGAGTGTCACTTTTGAAGTTGACTGGTCAGTTCTTGCTTTTCATGTGTTCTGTTACAATCATGCCAACCATTTCCACCAAAATATCCAGAGAGAAATTTTAGTGACAAACTTTTTGTATCCAAGAAATTGGATCAATTAATAATGACAAGATTTCAAGAATATAAGACTAGAGGCTGCAAAGTCTGCATTTATCAAGAATATTGATTTACCTGATGCAAGGCTATCTTTATAGAGCACAGCCACTATCAATGGTTTGTAAAAGTGATATGTTTCCTGCTTTACAGCAAACTGACACTTCAGGCTTATAAAGAAAAATAAGATTTCTATTGGATCAAATGGTATTTCTGCCAACTTTTAAAATGCATTAATAAAATCAATAACACCAAGTAGCAGAAATATTGTACTGTAATGCAATATAATGACAGCATACAATGCTTTGATCAGTCAATAATGCCACATGATAAGGCCAGATTATATTTGTCATTCTATGCTGTCAAATTGATAATGATGCAGTCATGAATTAATAATGATGCAGTCATGTACCATCTTATAAAGAAGAGAAGTGTAGAGAGAGTAAAGATAGCATTCAAAGGAGTAAATCTGAACAGTAAAATAAAAGAGGAATCCTGCAAAGTAATCAAAAAGAGTAATAGTATTAAGAAGTTATGACAATGAGATTGCATTCCACAATGTAAAGAATTTAAAGAAAATTCTTCTGTTCTATATATTTTTTTAATAATTTCACCTCAAGTAAGGCAATAAAGCCACTAAGATACAATGGGTTACTGAGCATTAGAGAATTTGAGAAAATCTCCTATTATAGAGAGAGGACAATAAAATAATTAAGAAGACAGAAGATAACAATTGACATTGCATTTAAATTTTGTTGTTGTTAAATTGTTTTGGCCATTGTGCCTTCTGGTCTTCATCAGGTCTAATCTACAGAATAGTGCTGCTCTTATATTCAAAAAGTGTAGGTAACATAGTGAAGAGCTCATGCGAACATTCACCAAAAGTAAAACCAAAACGAAAGTATTTATAGAAAAAACATAGAGAGGCAACCTTATGGCAGTAGGAAAATTACTGGAGATGAGCTGCCAGATCAGGACCAGTAATATTACAGATTCTTCTTTAGATCTTATCAAGGAGCTCAAGGTAAATAGCAGGAGCACTGGACTATATGTGGTAGCAATTTTCTAAACATGGATGAATGGTAGACTTACAGATATGTAAGATAAATTCTGGAGAGAAAAATTATTATTGTTGTCTCATACCTAATCTATCGTCTATACTTTATCATTAACTAA